TGACCCAAAAATCCAACTACATCAAATTTGCTAAAAAGTTCACATGAGCTACCTAGAGGCCAGAATTGAATTCCCTGAAGAGTTCAACTCATTACATTCCGTATCCAGTGAGAAAAGAACAATTTTAGATTTGTTACAGAATGCCCCAAAACTTCCAACGTTTTCCATAGCCGGCATCATCGAAAAAGTCAGTTTTTGACCCAAAAATCCATCTTCACCAAATTTGCTCAGAAGTTCACACGAGGTGCCTAGAGGCCAGAATTGAATTCCCTGAAGAGTTCAACTCATTACATTCAGTATCCAGTGAGAAAAGAACAATTTTAAATTTGTTACAAAATGCCCCAAAACTTCAACGTTTTCCATAGCCGGCATCATCGAAAAAGTCAGTTTTTGACCCAAAAATCCAATATCATCAAATTTGCTCAAAAGTTCACACGAGGTGCCTAGAGGCCAGAATTGAATTCCCTGAAGAGTTCAACTGATTACATTCAGTATTCAGTGAGAAAAGAACAATTTTAGTTTTTTTACAAATGCCCCAAAACTTCAACGTTTTCCATAGCCGGCATCATAAAAAAAGTCAGTTTTTGACCCAAAATCCAACTTCATCAAATTTGCTCAAAAGTTCACATGAGCTACCTAGAGGCCAGAATGGAATTCCCTGAAGAGTTCAACTCATTACATTCAATATCCAGTGAGAAAAGAACAATTTTAGATTTTTTACAAAATGCCAAAAAACTTCAACGTTTTCCATAGCCGGCATCATCGAAAAAGTCAGTTTTTGACCCAAAAATCCAACTTCATCAAATTTGCTAAAAAGTTCACATGAGCTACCTAGAGGCCAGAATTGAATTCCCTGAAGAGTTCAACTCATTACATTCAGTATCCAGTGAGAAAAGAACAATTTTAGATTTGTTACAGAATGCCCCAAACTACCAACGTTTTCCATAGCCGGCATCATCAAAAAAGTCAGTTTTTGACCCAAAAATCCATCTTCACCAAATTTGCTCAGAAGTTCACACGAGGTGCCTAGAGGCCAGAATTGAATTCCCTGAAGAGTTCAACTCATTACATTCAGTATCCAGTGAGAAAAGAACAATTTTAGATTTTTTACAAAATGCCCCAAAACTTCAACGTTTTCCATAGCCGGCATCATCGAAAAAGTCAGTTTTTGACCCAAAAATCCAACTACATCAAATTTGCTAAAAAGTTCACATGAGCTACCTAGAGGCCAGAATTGAATTCCCTGAAGAGTTCAACTCATTACATTCCGTATCCAGTGAGAAAAGAACAATTTTAGATTTGTTACAGAATGCCCCAAAACTTCCAACGTTTTCCATAGCCGGCATCATCGAAAAAGTCAGTTTTTGACCCAAAAATCCATCTTCACCAAATTTGCTCAGAAGTTCACACGAGGTGCCTAGAGGCCAGAATTGAATTCCCTGAAGAGTTCAACTCATTACATTCAGTATCCAGTGAGAAAAGAACAATTTTAAATTTGTTACAAAATGCCCCAAAACTTCAACGTTTTCCATAGCCGGCATCATCGAAAAAGTCAGTTTTTGACCCAAAAATCCAATATCATCAAATTTGCTCAAAAGTTCACACGAGGTGCCTAGAGGCCAGAATTGAATTCCCTGAAGAGTTCAACTGATTACATTCAGTATTCAGTGAGAAAAGAACAATTTTAGTTTTTTTACAAAATGCCCCAAAACTTCAACGTTTTCCATAGCCGGCATCATAAAAAAAGTCAGTTTTTGACCCAAAAATCCAACTTCATCAAATTTGCTCAAAAGTTCACATGAGCTACCTAGAGGCCAGAATGGAATTCCCTGAAGAGTTCAACTCATTACATTCAGTATCCAGTGAGAAAAGAACAATTTTAGATTTTTTACAAAATGCCCCAAAACTTCAACGTTTTCCATACCCGGCATCATCGAAAAAGTCAGTTTTTGAACCAAAAATCCAATTTCATCAAATTTCCTCAAAAGTTCACACGAGGTGCCTAGAAGCCAGAATTGAATTCCCTGAAGAGTTCAACTCATTACATTCAGTATCCAGTGAGAAAAGAACAATTTAAGTTTTTTTACAAAATGCGCAAAAACTTCAACGTTTTCCATAGCCGGCATCATCGAAAAAGTCAGTTTTTGACCCAAAAATCCATTTTCATCAAATTTGCTCAAAAGTTCACATGAGCTACCTAGAGGCCAGAATTGAATTCCCTGAAGAGTTCAACTCATTACATTCAGTATCCAGTGAGAAAAGAACAATTTTAGATTTGTTACAAAATGCACCAAAACTTCCAACGTTTTCCATAGCCGGCATCATCAAAAAAGTCAGTTTTTGACCCAAAAATCCATCTTCACCAAATTTGCTCAGAAGTTCACACGAGGTGCCTAGAGGCCAGAATTGAATTCCCTGAAGAGTTCAACTCATTACATTCAGTATCCAGTGAGAAAAGAACAATTTTAGATTTGTTACAAAATGCACCAAAACTTCCAACCTTTTCCATAGCTGTCATCATCAAAAAGTCAGTTTTTGACCCAAAAATCCATCTTCACAAAATTTGCTCAGAAGTTCACACCAGGTGCCTCGAGGCCAGAATGGAATTCCCTGAAGAGTTCAACTCATTACATTCAGTATCCAGTGAGAAAAGAACAATTTTAGATTTTTTACAAAATGCCCCAAAACTTCCACGTTTTCCATAGCCGGCATCATCAAAAAAGTCAGTTTTTGACCCAAAAATTCATCTTCACCAAATTTGCTCAAAAGTTCACACGAGGTGCCTAGAGGCCAGAATTGAGTTCCCTGAAGAGTTCAACTCATTACATTCAGTATCCAGTGAGAAAAGAACAATTTTAGATTTGTTACAAAATGCACCAAAACTTCCAACGTTTTCCATAGCCGGCATCATCGAAAAAGTCAGTTTTTGACCCAAAAATATAACTTCATCAAATTTGCTCAAAAGTTCACACGAGGTGCCTAGAGGCCAGAATTGAGTTCCCTGAAGAGTTTAACTCATTACATTCAGTATCCAGTGAGAAAAGAACAATTTTAGATTTTTTACAAAATGCCCAAAAACTTCAACGTTTTCCATAGCCGGCATCATTGAAAAAGTCAGTTTTTGACCCAAAAATATAACTTCATCAAATTTGCTCAAAAGTTCACACGAGGTGCCTAGAGGCCAGAATTGAGTTCCCTGAAGAGTTTAACTCATTACATTCAGTATCCAGTGAGAAAAGAACAATTTTAGATTTTTTACAAAATGCCCCAAAACTTCAACGTTTTCCATAGCCGGCATCATCGAAAAAGTCAGTTTTTGACCCAAAATACAACTTCATCAAATTTGCTCAAAAGTTCACATGAGCTGCCTAAAGGCCAGAATTGAATTCCCTGAAGAGTTCAACTCATTACAATCAGTATCCAGTGAGAAAAGAACAATTTTAGATTTGTTACAAAATACCCAAAAACTTCCAACGTTTTCCATAGCCGGCATCATCGAAAAAGTCAGTTTTTGACCCGAAAAATCCAACTTCATCAAAATTGCTCAAAAGTTCACACGAGGTGCCTAGAGGCCAGAATTGAGTTCCCTGAAGAGTTCAACTCATTAAATTCAGTATCCAGTGAGAAAAGAACAATTTTAGATTTGTTACAAAATGCCCCGAAACTTCAACGTTTTCCATAGGCGGCATCATCAAAAAAGTCAGTTTTTGACCCAAAAATACAAGTGTATCAAATTTGCTCAAAAGTTCACACGAGGTGCCTAGAGGCCAGAATTGAATTCCCTGAAGAGTTCAACTCATTACATTCAGTATCCAGTGAGAAAAGAACAATTTTAGATTTGTTACAAAATGCCCAAAAACTTCCAACGTTTTCCATAGCCGGCATCATCGAAAAAGTCAGTTTTTGACCCAAAAATCCAATTTCATCAAATTTCCTCAAAAGTTCACACGAGGTGCCTAGAGGCCAGAATTGGATTCCCTGAATTGTTCAACTCATTACATTCAGTATCCAGTGAGAAAAGAACAATTTTAGTTTTTTTACAAAATGCCCAAAAACTTCAACGTTTTCCATAGCCGGCATCATCGAAAAAGTCAGTTTTTGACCCAAAATCCATCTTCACCAAATTTGCTCAAAAGTTCACACGAGGTGCCTAGAGGCCAGAATTGAGTTCCCTGAAGAGTTCAACTCATTACATTCAGTATCCAGTGAGAAAAGAACAATTTTAGATTTGTTACAAAATGCCCCGAAACTTCAACGTTTTCCATAGGCGGCATCATCAAAAAAGTCAGTTTTTGACCCGAAAAATCCAACTTCATCAAATTTGCTCATCAGTTCACACGAGGTGCCTAGAGGCCAGAATTGAGTTCCCTGAAGAGTTCAACTCATTAAATTCAGTATCCAGTGAGAAAAGAACAATTTTAGATTTGTTACAAAATGCCCCGAAACTTCAACGTTTTCCATAGGCGGCATCATCAAAAAAGTCAGTTTTTGACCCAAAAAATCCAACTTCATCAAATTTGCTCAAAAGTTCACACGAGGTGCCTAGAGGCCAGAATTGAATTCCACGAAGAGTTCAACTCATTACATTCAGTATCCAGTGAGAAAAGAACAATTTTAGATTTGTTACAAAATGCCCCAAAAACTTCAAACATTGAAAACATGCATCGTTTCACATTTGAAGAATGTTAACCCTGCGTCAACCCTACGTCAACCCCGAGATTGATTTCACCCCGGGTTGAACTCAACCCTGCTCCACACCAGGGTTGAGATTTTCAACCCGGGTTGAAAATCTTTCCAGGTTTCAAAACAGTAGTAACTGAGCATGATAAACTTGATTTGCATGAAACAAGTGTGAAACGATGCGGGGTTGAACGCAGGGTTGAAAAATCAAAAACTCAACCCAGGGCGGCACTGGGTTCGCCCAGGGTTGAGTTCAACCCGGGTTGAGAGGCTCTAGTGTGAAAAGGGCTTTTGATTGGGTTTGAAGGCTAGATACTGACCTCAAGTGCCTGACTGAGTGGTTGGCCAATCGGATGCTGTGGCTCTTCTGCACGCCTAGGTCAGCTCCTGGTGTAGTCAGTAGCAGCTGCTGTGGATGAACACTCCACGACTCCTCAATCCTATCTACACTAGCCTGACTGACTGAGGATTGGCCTACCATTACATCAGGTGATCTAGAATGTGAGGTGGAGCTGACTGGAATGACAGTACGACGGCCTGCTGGGGTGCCTTTGACTGGAGGGGTATTGGGCACTGTCATTTGCCTTGGATGACAAAAACAATTATTGAATGATTCTGATCAGCACATAATTAAGATAATTTTGATGAACTCCAATATGACAAAATTATAGTTATATTTAAAAAAAATAGAGAGCGTACTCGCCATACTACGCGCACTCGCGGACGTGCCGACATGGACGCGCTGCCCCCATACTTGGAACAATGGACCGATCGCAGTGGCGCACCCGGGGTTGCGGCCAAAAATTTTTGGCAACATTTTTTTGAAAAAAAATTTGAGCCCCCCCCCCCCCAACCAAATCCGGATGCGCCACTGACCGATCGGGATAAGTCATAAGCCCCGTCAATCTTAGCAATGGCTTGGAAACGACATACGCCCGGTAAACTGCGCAAATGCACTCAGTCTGCGCAAGCAACGTGTACGTATGCCATAGGACGTTCGTACGCACACATGCACGCATGAAAAACAATTCAAAAGTGGGTCAACTGTTCCACCTAATGTATGGCGGCTGCGCGTCCATGTCGGCAAAGGTGCCTATGGGGAGTGCGCTCTCTCGTTGGACACCTTATAATGGACACCTTATATCAATACTGCATAAGAATGCATGCCTTTTTTATTCGTCTCACAAGCTATAGATGTTCTAGAGAATAGGTAATTCTATGAAAATGTTTGCCTTTTAACAAAGTTCCAAGTGCCTTCACGGCAGAACCATGCCTTGAAAAATGGTGTGCCGCTCAAAATGACACAATTCAAGACTTCCAAAACAATTGTTTTCATTCATCTTGCAATATTGATGTCTAAGGAGGAAAATAAAAATTCAATAAAACTTCTACATGTTTCCCTTTATAGTTGTGTTCCCTAACGTGGCGCACTTCGAAGCTTACCCGACTTTCTTTGTGTAGTGTTGCCAAACCTCTTTGTTGACAAACCTCAAATTCCTGCAGTAAAATACTCAGGCATGCAATTGGGAAGTCACAAAAAGAGAGGAAATTCACATCTTTCCCAGACTTTGTAGTGTTTTTCTATTTTCAATGGCACACATGGGAAATGAAAAAAGAGGAAATCAGCTGATCAAAGGAAAAGTTGCATGCCTGAATACTAGTACTTTTACCTTATTATTGCTTGCTATTTAACCTCTGTGAACAATTTCGGTTTCATAAAATTGTATCCGAAATTCAAAAACGGTGGTTTCATAAAATTGTATCCGAAATTCAAAAACGGTGGCGTCCGGGAATTGGGCACAAATTGGGGGGTGTTCCCTAACGTGGCGCACTTGAATAAATCTCGGAAAATTCCAAATTAACATTTAAGAATTTTTGTAAACTTGATAAATTCTGATAAATGATTTCTACTTACATACCCAGCCAGATGTTTGTCAGAAAATTATTTTCATATTTTTCGGGGCATTTTCAAAGGGTTCACTTTGCACTTTGGAAAATCAAGCCAAAATAAATTTTTCTTTTAACTTTGTTACGGGTAAATAAACTCGCGATCTATGAACAGGAGTGTTTAGAGCTTGATGAAATTTCACTTTCTGTGAAATTTCAGTTAAAACTTTTGCTCTAGGTAGGCGCTACAGGCGAAAAATCAAAGTGCGCCACGTTGGGGGCCGCGCCACGTTAGGGTACATCAAAAATATACTCCTTGATATCCAATTACATGACAAACCGCTAGGTTTCTTAACACACTATAATTATCTTAACCTGCTTGACGGGCCTTTGGATTCTACTTCATTCTTCGTCCCATTGTTAGCATTCTCCAATGTTTTCACAGGAGACAATGAAGACGTAGTCACCGGGGAGGGATGATCCTCCATGCGTAGTACATGGCCAGTCAGGTGCAGCATGAGGCGAGATATGCAGCGATAAAACAGATTCAGATCACCGCTTCTCCAAGGAAGATCACAGACTGATGAGAAAGGGAAGGGATTAACCCATTAGCAACGATACCACATTGTACAGTCGTTTTCCTAGTAGTTCAGCCGAAAGCAGCCTGAACATCATTCAGGCTGCTTTCGGCTGAACTACTCCACGATTAGGCCAAAAAAAAATAATAGTTCTGCTTCCGGTTTCCCTACCTACCCTATTCTGAAAGCCCCTACCCTCATTTTTTTATGGGAAAAATGATGGAAAAACCCAAAACCATCAATTTCTACCTTTTACCCTTGACTACACGCAGACGCCTCCATATAATTGTACACACAAAAAATTGGCAAAAACTCAATGAATGGTCTTTTGCACACATGATTCCTTGCACTAATTGGCTTCGATTTTATCTGGTTTACATGTATCTCCCTAATGATTGAGTTGAATCCAGCAAATTAATCCTCGAATTGTATCATCACGTTTGGGGTATTGATAGTGGAGACCACGATACATATGTACGTGCACGCACAGTAGCAAATTAAATGCGTGCGTGGTCCGGTATAAATACCACGCACGCATTGACTGCAGCACTAGTCATTAAATAAGACGACCCCCAAAATGGACAGAGCGCATGCGTATAGACTAGAGGGGGTTCTGGTATTGATATGCTCACAGGACACCCTTTTTCGACACCGATACGTGCAGCGATCACGGGCCGTGCCAAACCACTTTTCACTCGACACTTCTTGGAAAGCGCAGTACAGGAAGTCGATGCCAATGCGTGTTGTGTTGAATGCCGACTTACGCAAAGGATTTTGTAATGCTTTTTAATGGAAAGGGGACTGACAGTAACACGACGACTTGAGCGACATGGCGACTCATTAAAAAAATTCAATGGAAATGCATTACGGACAATTGGGACTTTAGGCAGAAGGCCGACTTGAGCGATTTGACGAGTTGTACGATGTCGGTTTAGGCGGAGTTTACTGTATAACATGCGAGAGCATCAGAATGATTGTTAAGATGCAGGCAAGAGGTTACCTTCGTTAACCTTAGCTTCCCCAGGGATCGGCAAGTCAAATGAGATTCCACGCAGTGGGTTGTGTTCCGATAAACTCACAGCCTCACTGTCTTTGTGTCTCAGAGCCCTGGTGATGAAAACAATTAAAGGGTTGAAGTAAAACAAAATACAAAGATTCAAATCGTGTCAAAGTTTCCAAATTGACACAAGAGAAATCACACATTCCCTCAAAGTGACACACATCAAAGGGAAATTCTTGTTCAACAGAATTCAGTCACACCATACTCTACAATAGGTCTCTCTCAAATGACGTCATTTCCTACAGACCAGCCACCTGCATCGACATTTTGAGCGCCAACTTGCATAACGCGCATCGGCTGCGTCGAATTTCGAACACAATTTCAAGCAACAAGCACGCAAAATACGCAGTTGTAGTTCTCCTACAGAGATGGCCGTCTCTGAGAGAGAGACCTTTTTGGAAAGTTTGTGCTTGTCTTCTTTCTTTGTGATTTCAGGTCAGAAATGCTTTAATAAAAATAATAATAATAATAATAATAATAATAATAATAATAATTTGGGAGGCTAATCAACCTTACTCGCAGCTGGTATGCTGAATTGCTAAGGGCGGGGCTACAACATGGCTGGGCCGCTGGCACGTAAAGGCACCTATGGCTGCCGGCCACATCGACCCATATATGACCACGGAGCACAGCCTGAGATCGAAAGTGTTTGATTTTTCCGGAGGGAGGAAAACCGGAGGGCCCAGAGAAAAACCCTCGTGGCACAGGAGAGAACCAACGCACAACTCTACTCACATGTGATCCGCGGCCAGGATTCGAACTTTGGTCACCTTGGTGAGAGGCGAGCACTTTACGCACAAGCCATCCATACCACCCATAAATTATCACTGGTTCAGCTCAAGCCACAAACTGATTCAAGTCTCCCCAGGGTGAAATCTTGACAAACCTTCTATGTTGCTGTCGGGATATCTCATCTCCATAGAACAGCCCCACCCCTGCCAGGAAGCCTTCTGTCATTCCCGGTCTCTTCTTGATCTCTAGACCAGGCAGTGTTATCGTCAATCTCCTCTGAGTCTTTGCCTGTAAGATGAACTCAGCTGGCTCCACTTGCAGCTGGCTACTCAGGAGCTTGTCTCTACCCTCCTCATCTGTGTTGAATCAAAGGCAAATTCAAGACTTCCTGAGATTTACATTCTCAGTTTTGAGGAATAGCCACATATCACTAAAAATCTTCACACATGATAAAACAGCCATATTGAAATTTGTATCCTTGTGGAGACATTTGTATGTTCTCGTGTACTAAAGTTTTCAAGTTTGAAAGTACAGTTTCAAAATGCTCTTATTTTAACCAGAATTAATTTCCTTGGCTGAAATAATATTAATACTAATATTAAACTTATTATCCCTTTTCTAAAACTCTACCATTTGTGACAGATAAACATACCTTGGAAATTCCTACTTTTTGAGTAAAATTCATATATATATTGCGTGAAAACCTTGTGGAGACGTATTCATCGATAGAAATTGCCCTGTTGAGACGTATACAATCTTTTGTTCCCTATTGTGTGCATGTCTCCAGAGGGCACGGTGTATCAGATCCTGATGTGTCCTTCAACAAGCATTTTCTGAACTTACCCTGAAACCCCAAGGCCTTTACAAAAGCACTCCTGCGTCCAACATTGGAGACGGTAACAGTACAGACCGTACCACGTTTGGTGCTTCCCTGGCCAATACTGACACTATATAAACCATGCTCAGTCTCACGCACGTTTTCTAATATGAGCTTGCTGACTCCACCATAGCCACTTAACGGAACCTGGGAAAATCATAAGACAACAAGCACAAAAAAGAGTCAACATTAACCTACTTGCGACGAACAACATTACATTTTCGAAACGTGAGTAACCGATTTTGTGCGTCTTGTTTATCATACATAACACATTTTTCTGGATGTCATCTTTGATGCTTAGGTAGGTCTAGATCTTCTCTATCTACCATGGGGATAACGGTTATTAAACCTTTTCAGTAAGGTAATTACAGCCCAAGGAAACTCAAAAGTACATCAAAAATGTAACGTGAATAACCGTGGAATTGCCCAGCTACAATCCCGGCCAAAATGGTTGGGACACTTGGAAATAACCTTAGCCTTCCACGGTCACCCACTCCCCCGCTCCCCCGGTCAATGTTTTGTTCTCTCCAGCTGATGGAGCACACACTGCGCAATGAGAGACAACATTGAGCGGGGGCCGGGGGGGGGGGGGGGCCAGCGAGATTTGGCCAGGATTGTAGATCTTGTCACAGATACTGAGACTTACAGTGTACTTGAAGTTGCTAGCCTGTGGTTTGATGTTGAGTTTAGCCTGGCTGGTTGCCACAGCAGTAGGGGAGAATAGAACATGCACAAGGAGGTCCTCCATAGGTTGCAATGTTACATATTGACTGTCATCAGTCGACCACTCACCAGTCTTAAATGGATTTAAAAGCTGAGGAAGGAATCAAACACGTCTTAATATTTGGCTGAAAACTGACAATATTAGGGCTGTGAAAATATATCAAATATTCAAATTTGAGATTATCAACCGAATTTTCGAATAGCATTTTTTTTTTCGATTTGAATATTCAAAAAATATGAGTGGTCTCAAGAAGTTGAAGGAAAACTCTGATTTGCATCTTCATTTTAGAGGGATACTAGGTCCTGGAACAGCCCAATTGGGCTACAAAACGTGCTTTGAACGAGATGATGTTAATTGGAAAGATTTAAAAGTAGGATATAAACATCCACACAACTATCCTTTCAAAACTGGGCGCTTTTGTGTTATTCCTGTATTATGCGCGCGAGAACGAATTTTCGGGGCCCACTTTTGCGACCCCATAAATTTGAGCTGTTTGGATGCTAGTTGTGATTTCATTCGTAAAGTGTGCGCCTTTTGCGGACATTGATAAAACCACTTTTTTTTGCATTGATGGTGATTGGTCACCGCTGTTCCCGAGGCACACAACGTGTATATCGTACACTGAGAACAACACGAAAAACGTATTCGTACTCCGTCATGTCCGATGTAAACAAGCGCGTTTTTTCATCTTTTCTTGGGAACGCTAAGACATTAGGTTCGTTTTCTCTCAACCAGATGTTTGAAATAGGCCAAGTAAACAATCCAAAACATAAAATTTTCGGGGATTTCAGGACCTAGTGCCCCTTTAATATTTCAAAAATAAACAAGTAGTATATATCGAGGAAAAAAAAAAACATCCATACGTACACAATGCTGTAGATATTTGATTAAGCTTATTGTAAATTTTTGACAGGTGCATATCCAACTTTACGGCCCGTTTGATTCAGGGCCAGCGCATGCTATTTAGACTGGCGCATGTTAAACTTCATTGACTTTTTCAAATATTCATATTTTAAATAGAAAAGCGTAAATGAACCAATACCTGAAAATCCTGCTTGTTCTCTGTAATGTAGAGCTTGAGTTTCAGCACATCTGTCTTGCTACAGCTGCGTATTGTAATCTTCTGCTGTCTGTAGCAGGGAAAATGGAATTACAGAAACATCAACTGAAGAAATAAGATTTTTCATGTCGCCTAAACGAAGTTTTGGGAGACACTAAGGCCAAAAAAAAAAGTCTCCGGTTTCTGGTATGCGCGCGCGTCGCCGTAGCCATGCGCGTCGGCAAAATGAAAAAGTTTTTTTTTCAATAAAAGATGATGTCTCAAAACTGCCAAACTCACTGGTTTGACTGGAATCCTGCTGCTGCACAATTTTAACGTGTTTTTAGATGGGGGTATGATCGAGAATAAGCTTTATGTGGCCTCTCCGGACTCCCATTATTTGCACTAAGTTGCAGTCATCAGCCGACATTTGAAGCAAAAAAGACAGGTAAAAAAAAAAAAAAACCGCGTTACCGCACCACTTTTTGGGCAAGCTCCATACCAGAAACCGGAGACTTTTTTTTGGGCCTAACCAGTCTTAAATGCTGTATGACTGTATACCCATATGCATGTTAAAGTTTTTGAAATTGCTCTCATTTCCTAAAGATTCGCCAGAATTCCATAAAACTTCAACACAAGTGTCATTGAGTACCAAAGATAATGTGCAGGGGCGGATCTGGGGGGGGGGGGGGGGGCTCCCTGAAAAGAAAAAAAAACCACGATATAGAGAGGGAGAGAGACTCAAAAAGAGAAGAAAAAGAGACAAAATTGATAGGGCAGTTCACGTCAGACCAAAGCCTGCTAGGATTAGTTGCAACAACTATTATTGGGGGTCTGTCATACTTTTACTAAAATTAAAAATCGACGGGACCAAGAACTGCGACGAGACCGCGCACGCACGACGAGACAGAGGGCGCACGACGACGAGCGGGAGGGCACGCAACGACACAAGAAAGGCAGCGACAAGTGAGAGCAGAGCAGACCTATGCTATTGTATGCCCTTCAAAACAAGATTCTTACAAGATCAGTGTTACTGTTAGACAGTGTAGGCATCGTAGTCATGGAGTCTCACTCTGTTACGAAAATCTCAGAGTTTTTCGCATTAAGTGTTTCCCCAACATACATCACATCCTCCATCTCTTGCTAATCATCCCAGTATCCCGGTAGAGAAAGCGAATTCTGTATTAAATGAAACTTGTGAAACTGTGCTGCGGTCTACGATGCAACAGGACCGTCTGAACAGACTCCTGTTGGTGTTCGTCCACAAGGACAGAAAGGCTCGACTACAGTGCCATGACACCTACAGGAGAAAACACCCCCGCCGAATGCGCTTTCTTTGAGCACACATTAAAGCACAGGTTTAAAAATCATATGCAGACTAGTGTAAGCAAGAACACTCTGAAAAGTGATTATGTTTGCGTCCTTATTTGGGGTAAAATATGCTGTAGATTACAGGAAAATGCACCCAGACCCCTCTTTTCTTTCACTTGACCCTGAATCATTCAAAGTGCCTGGTTTTGATAAATGTTAATAGTTTCATGGTTGTAGAGCTCTGATACTACTTTTTACATGGGCATTGTGTCTCAATTTTGTTATGCTTTTGGCTTTGACATTGTTTGAGGGTTTTTTTTTTAGCATTCTTCCTGAAATGATATAAAAGAAAAAGTTAGGTTTAGTACTTACAGGGCCCTGCCAATGGGCACACCACCCCAGGAGATGTAGTGTCTATTGACCAGGAAGTGAGGCTTAGTACTATCCAGAGATTTCTCTACAGCTTCCCCACGGAGCATGACCTCATAGGATGGACCGTCCGGCCTGGCACACATTGTCAATTGCCTGAAATATCATTACATTCTTATTTTAAATATGTTCTGTGAATTTATTTATTTTTTTGTTAGTTTGATAATAACGGATGAATAACAGTTAAGAATAAGGAAGGGTCGTTTAAGTTAATATTGGCCTTCCATATCAGACTACTGACCATGGCTTTAAACAATTCAAAACTTTAAACAGCCTTGTTTGATTAAAAACATTGACATGTTTTCCTCCCTCCATGCAGAAATACCCTTCAATAGTTTTTTAATGTTTTGGTGATAAGTGCTAATGTTAACCCAAAAGCAAGACGTTGTTAACTCTTTCAGTGCCAGAGTTGTACATGTACGAGGTATATTTGTTAGTTCGACAGTGCCAACCTCGTACATGTACGAGGTAATGTTCATACTTAACATCGCCAAACCTCGTACATGTACGAGGTAGAGTAAGCATGTTATCACAAGGGAGCGCTCTCGCTCTTTCTAATAATATCATTTTCATTCAGGTACGACCTGTATTTATTTGTTTCATTCGAGATCTTGCGAGAGGGCGCAGCACTGACACTAGTATTTTCTGCAAAAAGTGCGGAATTCCCCTGTGTGCAGGACAGTGTTTCAGGGTGTATCACTATGTATGTGACTACTATTGACTTTCCAATATACCAAGGATATACCAAAGAGCAAACACAACAAATTTAGTGAGTAAAACTTATTTACTTTTTTTTATACAGAATTTTGAACAATTACAAAAAACGCTCGAAGTTGGGCACTTTAGGGTTAAACTTTTCAAATTTTGCGGGCACTGAAAGAGTTAAGCTTATATAACATGGAAGAATAAAATAGTCCAAAAAAAATGTCTTAGTGTTGCAAAGCTGGAGGGAAATGGCTTTGCAGACTAGCGAAATAATTAATAAATGGTCATTAAAATCTTCTCAGATGAAGTTTGTGTCTTTGTCGTCAGATGAACAGAATCAATTAACATTTACCCTGTATCCAAGGAAGGCACCTGCTTAGGTGAATACTTGATCAAGGCATCAACCTCTTGACCAGGGGCAAGCAATATGGCTTGAGGTACTGCACTGAAGAGACCTTGAGCTGACATGACATTCAACTCCAAGTCCAGATGGATGTTGCCAGTGTTCTTGAGAGGTAGCTTACGAGCGATGTGTTCACCTTGGTTGGACTTCAGGCTGATCTCTTTCTGTACAAGTTATCAGAGCACATTGATAGGGCCACTTATCAAGTGTTCTAGAGTATGCTGCAAGTGCTTAGCTGAAAGAGATGATCTCTTTCACAATACAGGGTGGTTCAAAAAAAAGGACACCCACATTTGACAGCAATTTTCACCTATTTTTTAAAATTATTTTTAACTGTCGATTAGTGGCCATTAAAGTACTGGCCTTTAAGCAAATGTGACGAAAAAATGGTTGCATTTGCACATTTTGTCGTTGAGCTATGCCAATTTGAACATTTCATGTGCGAAACCTGTTTGTCCACGGAGCTGAACATGTATTCTCAACACAAAATGCACCAATGCATGCTTGAACATTATCATTGGAAAAAACGCGCTAACAATGAAGCCCATCTTAACATTTGATTGTTATGTTATGTAATGTTATGCAACAATGAACTTAAGCCGACAGCTCATTGAGTAGATGATCTTAACACTGACATGAATAATTGGACAGCTTCAATAAAAGTTACCAGGGCAAAATATATTTTGGTGGGAAGGTTTTTTAATTTTTACGAACTACGAAAAAACGTCCACTTTACATAGAATAGCCAGTGGACAAGACTGATTTTGGTGACTTGTGTTCAAATTAGCATAATATCACTATTTTTGCGACTTTTACTAAGCTTTTTTCACCATGCATGGTTAAAGGCCTATACTTTACTACTATGTGAAAAAATATTTAAAATAAGTTCATTAAGTAGGTGAAAATTGCTGTCAAAAGAGGGTGTCCGTTTTTTTTAACCACCCTGTAAATGTCAGACATGCAGTGGGGTTACAAAGCTTAACAGTCGACTTGACTGTGATAAGATTTGCCTGTTAAGCCTTGTTTCCATATCGGCGTAAGAAACACAAGGAGTGCGTTCGATTACTTCCCCCGCGCTTACTTGTGCAAGCGCGGCAGCGTTCGATTTACCTCTCACGTGACTTCTCGCGCTTACTCGAGCCTGGCCCCAGTAACCGACTCGCCGAGCCGGTTACTTGGGTAAGTATCCCATAAGGCCATGCAATAAACATGGCTGCCAACGTGACGTCCGGCGGGCGCCTCAGGCTGTGTCCGAAACAGGCTTCCAGAGCTATGGCTACTTCCACTGTCAGCGCGTCCCCGCATATTTTCAGTGGGCGTGGACCTAGACCTAGCTCTTGATTCGGATGCAGCCTCAGTGTCATGTCAAAGTTCAACTTTCCAGCTCTTGCACAAAACTTTAATCGAAACCGTTCACTTATTTAGCTCCACTGCGCATGTCTGTCATCACGCGAGGAGCCAGGCGCGAGTAAGCTGGGGAAAGTAATCGAACGCAGTGAAAGTAAATAGCAAACAAGACCCAAACTGCAACGCAGACATATGGGAACATTTCATCTGGAAGTGTCGCCAACTCAGACATTTGCCTTGGTGCTTTCGATCATTTGCCTTGGTGCAATTTCCCATTCCTTGGTGCTCTTTGGTAAAAAAAATTGAGGAGGTGCGGAAATAGAGGGCGCTGTTGGAGCTACCGCGGAACATTTTGGAAAAAAAAAAAAGATCGACGCGCATGATTAAAATCGACGCGCACGCTGACCAGAGACCGACTTTTTTGGCCTTAATAATAAACTGATTTTGTAATGATTATATTGATGTTACCGTTAAAGCTCTAGGAATATTCAACTTGGCAAGCCCCACGGTCGCTCTCAGGGTCGCACTAGTGATGGGAAGCGCGCCTCCTTCTGGGACGTCTAGCCACACCTCCAACTTAGCCGAGACTTGCTCTGGTGCATCCACGGACCCAGCCTTATCCCGCTGGCAAGCCCTGAAGTGAACCCACAAGGTGGAGGTGTCATTTTGGCCTTCTAGAGTGATGTGGCTGGGCAGGTTGAGACCAGAGACAGAGTCTGGATTGGCCTTCGAGTCACCGGTGTGCAGGTAGAATGAGTGCCACGCTGATGAGTTCTAAGAAGTTGTCAACAGAAAAGGAATTGGTTTCAGTTGTCATGATTGGCTTTTTCAAAAGGTGGCCTGTTGATCCCACCTTGCAGTTTAGTTCAAGCAGAGATCATTATGGGTGTTTTATTTAACCCTAACTCCCCAGGCCTTTTTGCTAGGATGTAGCCTCAATCCTGCAAAATTCCTCCAATTGGCCTCATGGAAAAATAGCATATAGCCTCAACCCTGCAAATTCCTCCATTGTTTCTTGAATGTGGTCCGTGGAGGGGTGACCACTGCCTGAATCCTGCAAAAATCCTGCGGCAGTGACTGTCAATATGTTGAGGCTTGGCCAGGGACATCCTGGAGCAGTACAGAGGATTTCAAGCATAATCCTGGCCTATATTTATGCATGGCTGAGCAAAAACAACATAAGGTCCAGCCCAAGACCTTGACAAAGTGCTTCCTACGAAATCAGTATTGCACTTGTGCCATGGAACCACAATCCTCCAAATTCCTCCACTTTGGCAAAGAGGATTTTGAAGGATTCAGGGCGGTTAGTGTTAATAATGAATTCTGCTTTGATCGATGTAAATATCAATCTTGCATCTTGCCTCAACTGACTAAGCTCTGCATGCTCTGTACTTTCTGAGAGCAAGTGAAAACACTACTCAAATGTAAAGTACAGGAGTGTGAGTGACCACTGATAATAATAGCTGAAAACACCTGAAAAAGGTGTAAAAAGCTGAACTCTGGAAATCTCCTATACTTTTGTACACAGCAAGTGAGGGAAAAAAGCTGAAATCCAAAACAAAAAAAAGCTGAAATCAGCTTTAAAGCTGAGATTTCATACCCCTGAGAGTAGTGAGGGTTTGCAGTAATACCACGTGTGTGGTTCTGAAAATAACCTGTTGGTTGTGAAGCTTGACGTTCCGATTAGTACGCTGATCGTCTTCAGGAGAAAAACTTTGCACTACGGCAATGCAAAGTTTCAAGTTTTATTTACTCAAATTTACAACCTCCTGTTTCCTTATTATTCGACCACCAAGCTCTGGGCAATTCACAATACACACACATTATCACTAAGGCCAAAAAAAAAAATAGTCGGTCTCTGGTCAGACCGAAGTTCCGGAATTGATACGGCCACGCGGTTTTTTTTGGGGGGGGGGTGTTTTTTTTTTCCAAGCTTGAATTGTACAGACAAGGTGGGTACTATTTTGTTTTTTTGTGTCCTCATTATACATTGGTGTCCTCCATAATTTGCCTTGGTGCCCTTTATCATTTGCCTTGGTGCAATTTCCCCATTCCTTGGTGCTCCTTGGTACAAACATTTGAGGAGGTGCGGCAATAGAGGGCGCTGTTGTAGCTTCCGTGTAAATTTGAAGGAAAAAAAGGTTAACGCGCATGATTAAAATCGACGCGCGCGCTGACCAGAGACAAAGGTTTTTTTTTTTTTGCATAATGCTGTATTGTGTGTAAGGAACACAATAGAGTAATGGTGTATGATAGAAATAGAAGTAAAAGGCTCCAAATTATTACCATAATTTTTTGTTATTTATACTACTGAGGGTGTGATTAGCACAATACCAAAAGTTCAATCCAAATTACAAACATAAAGGGTAAAAATGCACGGAATAATGCTTCAAAATAAATCGGGGTACTGACCACTTTGATGAGAAGACGTAAGGGAACTGTTGAGGACCCCTGGTTGACCAGATAGATGGGTGCCGATCTCTCCTTGCCATAGCTCAGCACACCCAGGTCAAGGGTACCATTCTGAGCTCCTTTGAACTGGCGATACAGAACAAACCGACACATTCATTATCCATGCAGGATTATAATAAAACCACTTCTTCATTTGTCAGACTGACCTACAAATAATTTCAACAGAAAGCCTTGTTCCTCATAAAAGTAAAAGGTAACATAGGTAATAATTTAATGTACCTTTCAATCTTCCTGTTTTAATCAGTCATGAAAACACCATCCTTGTTTATGTTTTATTAGTTTTATTTGGTTGAAACACCTATTAAACATAGTTATGAGAGAAGGTCAATCTCAACAGTTCTTACAAATACGATGGTTACTCAAGCAACAAACACTCAAGTTACATCTTTTTATTAAGTAAAAGTTGAAAACAATTTTTGATGACCCAGAGATCTTACATGTTAAACATTATGTCAAGTATGGATGTCTTCTCAGAAGCTAATTAAAATACCAGGTAACATTAAAAATGAAGAAAAGTTAAGGAAACCTAGATAAACAACATTCTTGTAAAATGGAAACCCATTACATAAAGTCACTGCAATGGAAAAATATATTAACCCTTACTCCCTAGGCCTTTTTGCTAGTAGCCTCAATCCTACAAAATCCTGCAATTGGCCTCATGGAAAAATAGCATATAGCCTCAATCCTGCAAATTCCTCCATTATTTCTTGAATATGGTCCATGGAGGGGTGACCACTGCCTGAATCCTGCAAAATCCTGCGGCAGTGTCTGTCAATATGTTGAGGCTTGGCCAGTGACATCCTGGAGCAGTACGGCAGATGTCAAGCATAATCCAGGCCTATATTTATGCATGGCTAAGCAAAAACAACACAAGGTCCGGCCCAAGACCTTGACAAAGTGCATGCTACGAAATCAGTAACGCACTTTTGCCATGTAACCTCCATCCTCCAAATTCCTCCACTTTGGCAAAGAGGATTTTGAAGGATTCAGGACGATTAGGGTTAACCTTGACCATAACAAACGCAACAAAGTAACCCAAAGTAACTGACCCCAATGTTTGGCTTCTCTGCCCGGGCAATGATAGTGACCGGTACTCCCTGACTGAGATAAGCTACTTCCCCGTCAGCCACTACAGGACTAGAGCTGACCAAGACCTGAGCTACATAGATGCCTGGCTGGTGGGGTACGAAGACCACCTTGATGTCCTCTGAGTTCTGAGGACTGATGATGGTACGTCGCTTGACCAGGAAGGAGGTCAGGCTGCCTGGAGGAAGCTGCAAAGGGAACAATTGTAGGACATGTGGTATGAAAGACAACTTCATTTCTAGAATGTGCGTTTCAACCATAGAGCTATATTAAATTACTAGAGCGCTAACTCCTCATTCTTGCGCGCGGAGACGCTTTGAAGCTAAAGTCCCCACTTGCCTCTCTCCACCCAGGAGTACAGTATAAATGGGTACTGGCATTAGCTGGGGAGTAACCCGCGATGGACTGGTATCCCATCCAGGGGGAGTAGAAATATTCTCAGTCGTTTCATGCCACTGAAACAGGAGATAAACGCCGGCCTGATTGGCCATATTGGCTCGGAACAGACCTTACTTTACTTATAAATGAATTGCTGACTTATACCCAATGAGAAAGTATATTTGTTTTTTAAAGAGGTTGTGGAATGCTCGAAGACATTTCCATCATTTTTCGGGTATATGTAGCCTAAGGTGTGATGAAATAAAAACGACTATTGTTTCTGTCATGAAATGAGTACAAAAGGTACTTTTGAGAGCTGTTTTTCAGGTCCAGTTTCGACCCGAACGTGCAACTGTGTAAAAGTCGTCGTTGCGGGCAGCAAACAAAACACAGTAAATCGTTACGTAATAAACAGGACTCGTGTATGCTACTGTGCATTGGGAGTCTTGTTTATTACATCACGATTTACTGTGTTTTGTTTGCTGCCCGCAACGACGACTTTTACACAGTTGCACGTTCGGGTCGAAACTGGACCTGAAAAACAGCTCTCAAAAGTACCTTTTGTACTCATTTCATGACAGAAACAATAGTCGTTTTTATTTCATCACACCTTAGGCTACATATACCCGAAAAATGACGGAAATGTCTTCGAGCATTCCACAACCTCTTTAACATAAGCTTCCCTTCTGAGAAATCAGCCGTCAAATAACTTTTTCGTTCAACGTTGTTAAACGACAACAGTTTACATCTCACCTCCTCCCCATTGATGCTAACAGATACCACCTCCATGTGGCACTGTAGCCAGCGTGGTCCTGGGTTCTTCAAGGGCAACACAGCTTGTTTAGCTATCCCTATGCAGCACACACCCTTGATGTTGATAGAGCTAACCTCCACTGGGTTGATGCTCTGAGCATTCACCCTGGTTGGCTGTGGAGGCCCTACAACAACAAAATAAGCAACACAGAAATAACGACTTCATTATTAATTAAATAACTGACTACAGATTCGGGTATTTAAAATTGCAATATTGAAATGGCTGATTACCACTTGCACAGCGAAATGTTCACTTTTATTTTAATTCCATAGCGTTTTCCTGATGGGGCAGATAGATTTCTAAAGACTGACTTCTGGGGTCTATTGTTTCTATTGTTGCTTCGTGTACACACATACTGAAATTTGTATCCTTGTGGAGTCATTTCTTTGTTCTCGTGTACTTAAGTTTTCGAGTTTGAAAGCGTACTTTCAAAATGCTCCTATTTTAACCAGAATTAATTTCCTGGGCTGAAATTCGGCTTAATATCCCTTACATAAAATACTTCAATTTGTGACAAATCTACACACCTTGGAAATTCCCAGTTTTTGAGTAAAATCCATTTATACATTTCGTGACAACCTTGTTGAGACGTATTCATCTATGGAAATTGCTCTGTGGAGACGTATACAATAGTTTGTACCCTATTGTGCACATGTCTCCACAGGGTACCGTGTACCAGATCTAGCTGCTCTGTAAAGAACCATGTGTGTGTACATGCACACATGCACTTTACATTATAGCAGTGATGTGCTTCTGTTGATTAATTTGAGCAATATATTCTTCAACTTTTGTTCCTAAAATGTCATTATTTAGAATAAAGTTTAGAAAGTAATCACATTTCAAAATCCATATGGAAGCAGAGTCAAACGTCTGACACATTTCAGGAATTTAAAAAAGATACTTGTTTAACTTAGAAATGAAAGGGAACACCAACCATGTTCTTGAGCAGTTCCTGGTCGGCTTGGAATGACCGTCATTGGATAACCGGAGACAGGAGCTCCCTGATAGGTAGGGAGTGCAGCAAAGCTTGTAGCTGATAGGCTGCCAAATCCATGCACACTGGCTGGATATATGCTGGGTACACTGGTTTGGTTTGACCGGAGTGGCACTACAGGCATGGTGGCAGAAGCGGGATAAGGGGGAGGGTATGACACACCAGTGTCCATACTGGAGATCTGACCAGGAATTGAAACTCTGTCAAGCATTGGACCCAGGTCTCTTGTGCTTGTCAGAAGATGATGTGCTCCGGCAGCAGAGATGGGTGGATAAGAAGGATCGAGATTCTGAAACTGGTTTGGACAACGGGTACCCTCTCCGGTGTTGATGGTAAGTGTTGGAAGTGTTTGTGTCAAACCCAAATTTGAGGATTGAGGTGCTACATTAGGCATTGTGGATGCACTGACTAAAGCTGGATTTACACTTGTACCCGTCTGGGCTACATCAAGACTTTTCATAAGTTGACCGCTGATGTAGGAAGGGGCAACTGATAAGGTACTTGGTGGTCTGGTGGTTACTGCCTGCTCATGCAAGTACTGCTTCAGCAAGGCATCTGTTAAGAGACTTTGGCTGGTCAAAAGAGTCGGAGTAGTTGATGAGGCACAAGCTGAGACACGCTGATCCTTAGGAAAAACTTGAAAGGATTGAATGGGTGGCCCGTAAGGTTGAGAGGGTTTGGGTTTTGTTGACGTTTGTGCAGATGGGGAGTTTGTGGTATCATCATCACTAGTCTGTGTGGCTGACTCGCTCAAGCTACTGCTGGTTGAGTAGAGGGAAGCAGGTGACTTGTTTGCCGATGGTGTAGCGTTTGGAGAGGCAGAGAGTCTCTGATGCTCTCTAGCAGGTGAAGGGGCATCTTGCTGGCTTTTTCTGCGTGACTGATCATCTGGAGGTTTTCCATCTTGTTTGGTTGCAGGAGACTGCACTTTCTTCTCCTGATCCCCACCATCAAAATGAGTCTGTGGGTCTCTTCTCTGAAAGCCTCGCGGCTTCTCTGGTTCTAGCTTCCGACCTTTAAAACTAGGCTGCCTGCTTGAATGATACTCACTCCATGATTGCTGTTTTCCCGGTAAATCATCATTTTCGTCATCAGAAGAAAAGTCCTTATTTAGAATATTTCCATGCGTAGCAGTTTCAACGCGCGTGCTTCCTCTTGTAGTACCCTCATGATTTTTTGGTGAACTTTCTTTCAGAAGGTCTGTCTGAATGTTACCGTGTCCTTGAGTCTCTTTAAAATTTGAATTATCATTTTTCTGAGAAGACTGCAAAGACCGTTCTTTCCGAGAATTTCCAGTGAAGTCTCCAGCTTCTCTGAAGAGGTCCTCGGGTTCTTTGATTCTTGACTTTCCAGTTTTTCGTGCAGTTGATGATCCATCCTTGGATCTGTAAATCTTTGGAGAGAGTTTGGTCTTCTTATCATCCCTTCTTCCAGGTCCTGTTTCAGTTCTGCCTTTCGGATCTTTTTGATAACCTGAGGATAACTTTTTGGCAAGTCCATTTGTACTCTTTGGGCTGACTTCAGGCTTACTTTGGATTCTACCATGGCTTTCCACTGATGATCTTGGTGTCCATAACAAAGTATCGCTGTCCAAGGATTCAGATGAGTCTCTACCAGCCTGTAAAGTTCCGTCCCATGCCTCCTCGGCTCTCTGAATGATCTTGATGCGTTCAGCGTGAACTTTCATTCTCGAGTCAAATGACAATTCCATACCGACTAACTCTTTCATAATACTACTATCAGCAGATTCTCTCGGAGACTTTTCCATATTCTGAGTCTTTTGCTTTGCAGATATGCTCGAGACGGTAGTGCTGCTCGACTGCTGCTCGGAATGAGCCTCACGTGTTACCTTCACGCCATCTCTAGATTTCTCATTCCTCTGTGAACTTTCAAAAGGACTGGATGGACTTCTGATTCTCTGATCTGTACGCTTTGCAGATGTTCCATCCTGGATTTCCATCTGTGGAGGTGAGTGTGATTTATGACTTGCAGGCTTCTGTTTTGGAAACATGTCCATCCCAGGCATTTGAAATTCATGATCTGCTCTTGCTCTCGTTGTACCATAACGTCCTTCTGAATCTGGACGTGATTCCCCGGCATTTCTGCTCTTGTTCGAACCTGGTAAATTTATCGCTCTGTCTGTCACTTCCGCAGGATTCCCAACAGAAGGTTTGTGATATGACTCCTGCTTTTTGGAAAGCACTGAACTGGAATTACATCTCTGTTTCCTTGGGGACTTTTGCTCCGAATGTTTGGGGTTTGTATTCTCAGAATGCACATCAACTGACTTCGGCCTGTTCATAGGTTCTGCTTTGTCAGGATCAGCAGATGGTGCCTTCTTGATTTTTCTGTTCTTGTTCGACAAGGCAACGATCATGGCAGCAAATTCCTCCGGTTTTGTAGTGCTGGAGGCATTGATAATGGCGGCTGCAATAGAAGACGTCGCAATTGGAGGTGTCCTCGTTCCATCTGGCTCGCTCTCTTCTCTCAAATGAAGGATTTGTCTTGGAATCATTGGAGTGACCTCTTGAAAAGGCGGCACCTTCAGGTTCGGCTTTGAGGAAAAGGTCGAAGGTATGGTCTGGCTTATATCTAGTGTTTCTGCAACTGGAGTGTGGTTTAAATCACCATCCATCCTGCTAAATCTGGACGCACCCTTAGAATCATTACGACTGTCCACATCATTGTCGTCCATCAAGCTCAGATCCTCAAGATCCAAGGCAGCCATTTGGGGATCCTCTGAAGCGCTCCGCTGTAGTAGTTGCTGCTGATCGTTGACAGCAGACCCCTCTGGATCTGCAGCTCTGAAGTAAAGGCTCGCCATGGGCATGGACTCCTTACCAGCTGAGTAGCCATCTAACTCAGCCAACGATGAATAGCTGTCTTCAACTAGTTGAGATGGGGCTTGTGATGCAGACTTGTGTCTTTGCTGATGATGCTCTGCATGAATGGACAGAGATTAGGATTCTTTGAATGCATCTTTCATGGCTGCTTTACATTCCAAGGATAAAAGCAAGTCAACGTTTTGTTTTCCTTTTCCATCATTAAAATAATAATAATGCTTGCACATTAATAGGTTCCAATTATATGACGTCAAAGTACCACATGCCCATCCGGTTTTTCCGTGACCGGCCACCATTGCAGTGGGCAAGCGTTTGGTCAGCAACCACATCATGAGTTGCAAAGTAGACAGTAGAGCTAATTTTCATGTAAAACAACTGCAAATTTTTTATCAAATGGCGCGCCTGTGCGTCGTGCCAATGCTTGCGCACGCTTCGGGAATAACAAAACAAACTACTAATTTAAATTTCCTACGGTGCGTCTTAAGAAGCACCGTTGGAAAGGCCTTCTTTCGTTGAGTACTTCAAAATGACAGTAATAATTTCACAGGGAGTTTAGTCCCCTTACTATCTTTCAACCAAGAATGTTTTTCAACAATAATTATGCCAGTTACTTTTCAGATAGCTGCAAATGATGGACTATAGCTTTAATTACCCCAGCCAAAGGCTCTAATGTTTGCAATTGTTTTTGAAGTGATTTCTTGAGTTTTGGCAGGAATTTTGAAATTACCTTCAGTATCTGAGCCCACTCCAGCAAACCTGATGCTTTCTCCCAGGTCCTCCATGGCCAATATGCCTTGCATCCTTGCCTCATCTCTCTCTTGCTCCTCAGACACCAGACTAAGTCTTGACATCTCCACAAGAGCTACGGGCTCCCTGCCTTCTGGAGTCTTGATATGGCCTGTGCCAAAGCTCGGCTAGAACATAACAATTTAACAAGACACTTTGCTTAAAAGGCTTAGATTATTGGAAATAATCTGTGGAAAATTAATAGAATTATGAACAAAACGGCTTTTTAGAATATCTATTGACAGTAATACAGGGTGTCCCACACACAAACACAGAAATGCAACGAGTATGAGGGTATGAGTAGGGCCAGATAGGAATTGTCTTGGGTATCAAATGTTGGGTATAAGTTGACTCAGGTATGAGTTGACTTGACTATTGGGTGCCAATTGACTCAGGTAAGGTGTTGACCAATTGTCACACAAAACTAACAGTTGCAAAAACCTGCAAGTAGCAAATTGAAGCCAGTGCAAATAGTCAAAGAGTGCGTTCGATTACTTCCCCCAGCTTACTCACGCCTGGCTCCTCGCGTAATGACAGACATGCGCAGTGGAGCTAAATAAACGAAAGGTTTCGGGTAAAGTTTCGTGCAAGAGCTGGAAACATGGGCCTGCACGTCCACGTCCAGTGAAAATACGCGGGGGCGCGCTGACAATAGTTTGTAGCCATAGCTCCCTGTATAGAGCTACATAGGGTTTGTAGCTCTACGCTCCGTGGAAGCCCGTTTCGGACGCGGCCTGATGAGACGCCCGCCGGACGTTGCATGGCCTTATGGGATACTTACCTAAGTAACCGGCTCAGTGAGTCGGTTACTTAGGCAAGGCTCGAGTAAGCGCGAGAAGTCACGTGAGAGGTAAATCGAACGCTGTCGCGCTTGCACGAGTAAGCGCGGGGGAAGTAATCGAACGCACTGCTAGGCACACAACGCAAACGTCCCCTTCCTTTTTATCTCCTCTCATGACAAGACCTACCCTCTTGGTTCCACGGTCTCCTGACAGGGAGCCGTAGCTCCGTGCATACAGCTACATAGGGTTTGTAGCTCTAAGCTCTGTGGAAGCTCGTTTCGGACGCGGCCTGATAAGGCGCCCACCGGACGTTGCATGGCCTTATGGGATGCTTACCCAAGTAACCGGCTCAGCGAGTCGGTTACTTGGGCCAGGCTCGAGTAAGCGCGAGAAGTCACTTGAGAAGTACATCGAACGCTGTCGCGCTTGCACGAGTAAGCGCGGGGGAAGTAATCGAAGGCTCTGCTAGGCACACAACGCAAACGTCCCCTTCCTTTCTACCTCCTCTCATGACAAGACCTACCCTCTTGGTTCCACGGTCTCCCGACAGGGAGCCTAGAGCCTCCGTTCTGGTACGCATGAACTCCCCCAAGGAAACACGATCATCAAAACAATCATCTTCATTTACCCCGGGACTACCAAGGGTCACATGACTCTTGTCAGGTGGAGTCCATCTTGAAGCGCCATGATCAGAGTATTGGTCTGACGAGATGTATTCATCCTAAAATATGAATTACAACAGAAAATTTTAAGAGTGAAATTCTCTGCCCAGCATTGTATGTAGTCCGGATAGTACAGCAAGGTAGGACACCAGTATTGGATGTAAACAAAGCATGACATCATAATGTCTCAGGTCTATTTGAATTCAGACGGGAGTTATTAGTGAGATGATTTTGTATTGTGGAGTTAATAATAATAATAATAACAGGTTCTTATATAGCGCTTTTAACTAAGATCAAAGCGCTTTACATTATCATTACCCCTGATCATTGGGCCAAGTAAACATTCCAAATACCATCTCAGCTCCCTGGGGAGTATACAGCTCGATGCTGCCTGTTAGGCGCAAGGAAGCTCATTCAATCACAATAAGCATTTCTGCCCTCACAGGTACCCACTTACTCCTGGGTGGAGAGAAGCAATGAGAGACAAAGTGCCTAGCTCAAGGGCACACGCACCATGACTCCGCCAGGACTCGAACCCACAACCTGCAACTTTACCTGCAGACCACAAATCAGTGCCCTTAACCACGAGGCCGCGGCTGGCAGCATCTTTATAATGCACTACTTAGTGCATACTTGTGTGTGCTTATCTGATCCTGATAAATTTCTGCAAATGAGGCAATTTATTAAATTAATCAGACAGAAATATTTCCCATGCAAAAGATGCAACTTGATTTCAGCTGAAGCCCAAACAATTTACACTTGATTTTTACTCGTCGATATTGTTTGGGATTTTGTAAAACAGAATGTCGAACAGTTAATTCAAATACAGAGAACTAAATGATGCGGATTTGAAGTACCTCCCTACCTCCCTCCCTCCCCCCCCCCCCCCCCCCCGCCAAAAAAAACATTCAAAAACAATTCCTACCAATAAATAAATTGAACACAAATCAACAGTATCATAAGTTATGAATCCAAGTGAATGAAATAAATCATACTTCTCTGAACTCATGTTCCTTCTCAAATTCTTTTTGGTCCTCTTCTAGGACTGCTTCTGCGTCACCTACAAACAAGACAATATTCATCATGATTATGTCCATTACAATCAGGACGGAGAGTCACAATTGAAATAGCACATGTTCAGACACAGGATGATTGTATACATTGTACATGTACCTCACAATCATTAACGCTATACCCTTGAGCACTTTTACTAGAAAGTATTCTGAATCTGCCAAAATCCACCTATAAACAAGGATTTATACATATAATAGCTTGATAGTTAAATTATGAAATTAATTTGCTCCCAAGGCAAACAACTCAGCAGATTTAGGTTAAAAATATCCCCGGCATCAAACGGCACTTCGTGAAAGTTTAACTTTCATTTTTCATGCACGCACACAGCGACATTTCCCAATAGGTCACTTTGTGGGATCAAAAAATGTTGATTTCTTTGTGGCTGAAAGCGACCTATCTCATATACGCATGCGCGTCGAGGATCCAGACAACGTTCCCGCCAAAACATACTAATTAATTTTGAACAAAATTATTCCAAAGTGTGAAATTCAATGACCAATTTTATTTAAAAAAAAAAATTAAAACGTTGCTAATATTTTCATTGATATAAATGTGGTAATCATAACCATATGTTGTAGAAACTTCTCAATGCATTTTTATTGAAACAACCATTTGAGCCTCTTCGTGGAATCAGGATGAAGCGGCAACAGGGTTTAACAAGGTGACTTATCCAAATGTGTCGCTTCGTGAAAAACAAATTTCCACTTTCTGTTAGGCCAAAAAAAAAAGTCTCCGGTTTCTGGTATGCGCACGCGTCGTCGTAGCCATGCACGTCGGCAAAATGAAAAAAGGTTTTTTTTCAATGAAAGATGATGTCTCAAAACCGCCAAACTCACTGCTTTGACTGGAATCCTGCTGCTGCACAATTTTAACGTGTTTTTAGATGGGGTTATGAACGAGAATAAGCTTTATGTGGCCTCTCTGGACTCCCATATATTTGCACTAAGTTTAGTCGGGCACCATTTGCAGTCATCAGCCGACATTTGAAGCAAAAAAGTCAGGTAAAAAAAAAAAAAAAAGCCGCGTCGCCGCACCACTTTTTGGGCAAGCTCCATACCAAAAACCGGAGACTTTTTTTTTTTTTTGCCTTATCTGTCCTTTTTTTAAATTTCCAAAATCTAGCCAAAACCAGATTTGTATCAATTCTTTTTTAATATTAAGAAAGACAGTAGCACAAAGAACATAATTCCATCAACTACTAAATTAGCGAAAAATTCAGATAGGCCGGTTCGTGGGCTCAGCGACGATTTATAACCTATGCTTGGATAAAACCCTAACATCACATTTTACCTTGGGTAATAAATTCACCATCATATTCAGGGAATTCCACATCATGAACATTGCTCCGGTGCGAATCATTCTGCATGCTGTCAAAAGGATTGTACACCCTGCTCTGGTTGCTGCTTGATGCAGTAGGAGTTCGGCCAAAGTCACTCATCATCTGCTGAATCTGCAGGATATCTTGCTCAGTATTGATATCATCCTCATTGTCATCCAACTGAAACCCAAATTAAATCATTACGAATGGTTGTATTGGTTAAAGGGAATGTACATCATTGGCTTTTGCTGTAATTTTCAGAAATGAACTATTTGAGGGGTTAGTATAATAGATCAAATATTGTTACACTGACATGTTTGAAGTTTTGTGTTCGAAAATGCTGGAAAAACCAAGAAAAACAAAAATGTTCAAGTGGTCTGGTTCCTTGACTCCACTAAAGATAAAATGGATCAATTTATAGATGCCGGAAAATTGTAAGGTAAGGGAACCAGTCTAGCTGGCCTGCACCCATTTATGAACATGTAACCAATAGCAAACAAAATTTGGACCGAAAAAAGTGTAAAGTTGGAGCAGTAGTTGAAAAATAGTTAGGTTTTTCCAACGGTGGTCGGCCGACTTCACACCAGGTGCCATTATTTTACAGGATGCTTTAGACTGTCATTTACCAACATCCAACTAAGGTATTTCGTAAAAACTTGGAAGTTTTATTTTTCGATGTTTGCAAATGTTGTATATTCCCTTTAAAGGAACACCTCCAGCGAGACACAAAATCATCTCAATTTTCTTTCAAGAGGAAAAGAGGTTGGTCTGGAAATGGAACAGGAATGTTCAGTTTACTGTGCAATACTCACTCCGACAGATTCCAACAAAACATGCAGTTGGATTTAGAAGGGTTGGGGTTAATGCATAGTATTCCAGATTTGTATTTGGGGTACTTTTTTTTCATTTTCACAAGACATACAAGTATATGAATAAAATTTTTAAAAATCATTAACTATGAAATGAAAAATATTCAACTGCCGACGCTACGTGCGTCCCCAATTTTAGTGTCAGTCGGGTTATCAGAAACACAGCATTATATTGTTCAAGTTGCTGCCATAAGCCAGTTACAGCTATAGTCCATCATTTGCAGCCATCCGAAAAAGTAACTGGCGTATTATTGTTGAAAAACATACTTGGTTGAAAGATAGTAAGTGGACTAAACTCCCTGTGAAATTAATCTTTCTGGCAAGCTATCATTTTGAAGTAATCAACGAAAGAAGGCCTTTCCAAGACGCACCGTAGGAAAATTTAAATTAGTAGTTTGTTTTGTTATTCGGCGCAGCGCGCGCAAGCATTGGCACGACGCACAGGAGGGCGCGGTTGCTATAATTCATCGGATCCTTGCGCGACATCGCGTATGGCTGCAATTCAAAACAATTCAATACATGATTCAGCAACTTTTGATTTGAAATTGAGATCCTAGAATGCTGTTTTTCTCGGAACATACAGCTGAAGCCGAGCTGAAACTTCATCAGATTAGTTGTTCAGTATCCTTCATTAGATTTTGAACACTTTTGTTGCTTCAAAGGAACAAAATGCACAAATTACAAATGATGGACTATATCTTTAAGTGCAGAATGACTTGTTCCTGTTTGTTCTTACCTCTCTACTTCCTGTAGCACCAATCAGTGTCTTGTCAGCATCTTGATCCTCCTCGTCCTCAGTGCCGTTCCCCCGTCTATCCTCCTCCATCATACCTCCATCTATCATACCACTAGTCCAGAATCTGTGGTGCAGCCCCTCCTGTGAGGAGCTGAACACCGCCTCATCAAAGTGGAAGCTGCTAGCATTGCTCAGGGGTCTCAGTTCAGGACTGTGGGGCAGATCGTTCATGGAACCAGCCGACTTGGGTCTCATGGAGGGCAGCAAGAAGTGAGCGGCAAGGCCAGACATCTCTGGAGTTGGCGTTTGATGTGCATCACTTAAACCTGAACCCTTATTAGAGACAAACATGAATAATTTTGGGCTGAATAATATTGACCACATTTTTCACTCTCAGTTACTGTTTAAGAAGTCTACAACCAACTCCTTTGAACTCATAGTTTCAAAATGTCAAAGAGCAATTGCGTTAAGGGAAGTGCAGCATTATTAACATTCAAATGGGCATATTCAAATTTTTTGTCTCTTAGGCGAAAAAAAAAGTCTCTGGTTTCTGGTATGGAGCTTGCCCCAAAAGTAGTGCAGCGACGCGGCTTTTTTTTTTTTGTCTTCAAATGTCGTCTGATGACTGCAAATGGTGCCCGACTAAATTTAGCGCAAAATATATGGGAGTCCAGAGAGGCCACATAAAGCTTATACTCAATCGTAGCCCAATCTAAAAACACGTTAAAATTGTGCAGCAGCAGGATTCCAGTCAAACCAGTGAGTTTGGCGGTTTTGAGACATCATCTTACATTGAAAAAACAAACTTTTTCATTTTGCCGACGCGCGCGCAGACCAGAAACCGGAGACTTTTTTGGGGGGCCTTAAGTATGCTGGGTTATTTTTCAGAGGCCTGTCACAAAACTCATTTTCTAAGTAAGAGATAGCTAGGGACATTTCCTTACTTCGACATTTCTTTCTTGATCGCTGTATCCAGACTGGCTGCTCCATGATCTAAGGAACACCCTCCTGTTGCCAGCTGCTCCTCCACTGACCACAGAGGGTGCTGTCAGGGAACTGCCGGTCTCACCGTCACTCATTCCATCCCCACCCCCGCCACCGTCCCCAGGGACTAGGGGGTTGACTACCTCCCCCTCAGCAGACTGACGGAGGCTCATCTCCTGCCGTGGGGAGGAAGGCATGCTGGAGTTCTGTTCATCGGAGCTTCCGCCTTCCAGACCAGGCCGTGATTGGCGAGTGTCCTCACTGCCACTGCTCTCCCCACCATCCCCGGCATGAAGACTGACTCGGTCTTCTGAGGAGGCTGGATACAGCACTCGCTTGGCGTTTTCCTTTAAGACAAAGACAAAGTTAGGAAAACTCCATTACTCTTACATTGCATAATTACCCCAAAACCTCCTCAGGTAAGCCAATATGTGTGAGTGAGTTGGAGGGGAGTCATTGGCTTCATTTAATCCTTATCAACAATTCCACAGAGGAAACACACAGGAATGCCTTTTTCCTTGTGGTAGCACCATTATTTATTTTATTTATTTCTTATTTACCCTGGGGAAACCTCTCATTTGAACAGTTTTCCGGAGGTGCCCAGCAATTATACAGTACAATTCATTTAAAGGGAATGTACATCATTGGCTTTTGCTGTATTTTTCAGAAATGAACTATTTGAGGGGATAATATAATAGATCAAATATTGTTACACTGACATGTTTGAAGGTTTGTGTTCAAAATGCTGGAAAAACCTAGAAAAACAAAAATGTTGAAGTAGTCTGGTTCCCAGACTCCACTAAAGATAAAATGGATCAATTTATAGATGCCGAAAAATGGTAAGGTAAGGGAACCAGTCTAGCTGGCCTGCGCCCGTTCATGAACATGTAACCAATAGCAAACAAAATTTGGACTGGAAAAAAAGGGTAACTTTGGAGCAGTAGTTGAAAAATAGTTCGGTTTTTCCAACAGTGGTCGGCCGACCACCATTGGAAATTTATACAGAAATACCATTTTCTTGAAAATGATTTCACACCAGGTGCCATAATTTTACAGGATGCTTTAGACTGTCATTTACCAACATCCTAGTAAGGTATTTCGTAAAAACTTGGTAGTTTTTTTTTTCGATGTTTGCAAATGTTGTATATTCCCTTTAAAATTACAATTACAAAAAGCACTAAAAATAGTAAAATGCTGGGTACATAAAAAACTTTTTATTTTAAGATCATTATGCCAGAAAGAAAGGCAGGCAGTTTTTAGAACCGAAATGGGAATTGTGAACATACAGTATTAAAGAGTCTTTCTTCGATGAACCCAAAGTTTCCAAATGAACATGAACAGACCGCCAATGAAGTGGTCCAGCCGATGTGTTTATGAGTGGAATCTGTTGAGCCTAGGAGAATTATTTCATCCATTACTCACTCTCCTAACAGCTTCCAGTTCATCCTCTGTGTCTATCTCACTGCTCTCAATGGATTCAATACCTGTAGCATTTCCTCGCTCACCTATGTGAAGAAAATATACGTGTTTACATTAAATGGAATGCAATAATAATACTTGTAAAATTTTTATGCTTTTAAGACCCAGGGTAATTGAACCCTAACCATCCCAAATCCTCCAAAATCCTTTTTGCAAATTGGAGGAATTTGCAGGATTGAGGTTACATGGCAAAAGTGTGTTGCTGATTACAGAGTACGCACTGTGTCAAGGTCTTGGGCCGGACCTTGTGTTGTTTATGCTCAGCCGTGCATAAATTTAGTCCTTGATTATACTTGAAATCCTCCGCACTGCTCCAGGATGTCACTGCCTCTGCCTCAGCCTATTGACAGTCATAGCCGGAGGATTTTGCAGGATTTAGGCAGTGGTCACCTCTCCACGGACCATATTCAAGAAATATCGGAGGAATTTGCAGGATTGAGGCTATATGCTATTTTTCCATGAGGCCAGTTGGAGGATTTTGCAGGATTGAGGCTACATCTTAGCAAAAAGGCCTAGGGAGTTAGGGTTAATGCTTTTCAAGAGCTATTTCTTTTCAAATCAGTAATTGCAAAATTGTTCACAAAATGAGGATTTATTTTTACACTCCAAGAATAAATATTCATTTGGTATTTAATATTTGATGTCAATGCACTTCCATTTTCACTGCTTCTAGGCTGAACAGTCCTGTGAGTAATAAAAGGAACATTTTGACAATTTTGGTAATTCTTTGAAGAGACGATACACCACGACTCAAGCTAGCCACACATTCCAATGCCGTCACTTTGTATTCCATCTGTAGAGTACAGTGTTCTCCAACTTCGAAAATTAAAGGTCGGTGTGCGGTCAAAAAGCGGAAGGGGGGGCGCTATAATTATATTAGGGGCGCTATTAGCAGTCATACATTTCTTTATGCTAGGGGGCGCTATTTGCAGATGAACATGTGATTTATGTACGGATAACAGCTTTTAGGCCATTTCCAACACAGTAGCACTAACAATCAAGTACAATACTGGCTCAGCATCATCTTTTTTTTACACATCAGTGACCAGGGACTCTGAGGCAGTTTGGCCTTGAGACTTTTGACCTGATTAATTGCTACAATGGGCAGGCTTGTCATTTTGACAAGTTTTGCATGTTATTGCTTTTGGCAGAGTTTCTGGCCAAAATATACCCTGGAGGGTAAGGGTAGTGGCTGGCACTTGTTTGTCTTTTTTATTATTTGTTCCTTTTTTTAAGCAGGGCGGGCAACTTTTTAAGCTTGGCAGGTGTCTCAGAAAGCTTGGCGGGGCACCAGGTTATTTTTACACTCCAGGTTGGAGAACACTGTACTCCACATGACCTTGACTACTACTAGACCCCAAATGATTGGAAGTCACTAACCTGGCTCCAGTTCACTATTTCTGTCGTTGCTTGGATTCTCTTGGCCATTCTCCTGACCATCTAGAGTGCCATTGCTGAATCGCGACATGTTATAACTCCCATCAAGCTGAAGAAGACTTGTGGATAGGTCTGTCAGTCAATGACAACAAATACCTGGTTATATGTATTCAATTCAATTTCAATGATACGAGAAGCTAAATACAATCAAAGCCAACTCTATCCAAACCCTTGTTATCCCAGCCAAGTACAGGTTATTACACTGTATTGTTGATGTACCCTAACATGGCGCCGCTCCCAACGTGGCGCACTTTTCGCCTGTAGCGCCTACCTAGAGCAAAAGTTTTAACTGAAATCAGGGGTGTGAGTGACCACTGATAAAAATAGCTGAAAACAGCTGAAAAAAAGGTGTAAAAATGCTGAACTTTGGAAATCTCCTATACTTTTGTACACAGCAAGTGAGGGAAAAAAGCTGAAATCCAAAACAAAAATAGCTGAAATTTTGGCGGATTTTCCAATTTTATTTTCAAGTGCAAAGTGAATTCTTTGAAAATGTCCCGAAAAATAAGAAAATAATTTTCTGACAAACATCTGGCTGGGTATGTAAGTAGAGATAATAATTATTTATCAGAATTTATCAAGTGTACAGAAATTCTTAAATGTTAATTTAGAATTTTCCGAGATTTATTGAAGTGTGCCACGTTAGGGAACACTCCGCCAATTTGTGCCCAATTTCCGGACGCCAGCGTTTTTGAATTTGAGATTAAATTTTATGAAACCGAAATTGTTCACAGAGGTTAAATAGCAAGCATTAATAAGGTAAAAGTACTAGCATTTTACTGCATGAATTTGAGGTTTGTCAACAAAGAGGTTTGGCAACACTACACGAGGAAAGTTGGGTAAGCTTCGAAGTGCGCCACGTTAGGGAACACGACTATACATCATTGAGCAGTCAAGATTGAAGGTAACCAAGCTTGGCCTAGATAAAGCCTTGGACCTTGCTCAGTCCAACAAACCTGTCTATGCAACCTTGCACCAAAGTACCAAGCAACGAGACATGCTATATATTGCAACACATCACAGATGACAGCATTTCAATTCATTAGAGTGAGTGTATCTAAAATTGTTCCATCATGCATGTCCAATGCACTGAATCTGGCAGCAAAATTAAAGCGTTTTAGCTCTACATGTAAATTGTCGGCATAGATCCTTGCTGAACCTTGAATTTTAACAATTGTTTATGTCCCCCCCCCCCCCCCCCCCCCAACCAGTCCCGTAGAGTGGACATTTCTTGGGTCACTTCAAAAAGGCAGTTTGAAGTTAAAGGGAAGATACAACATTTGCAGACATCAAAAAACGAAATGATAAAATTATCACGCGCGTGATACCTAACTTGATTGTAAGGGAATGCAGTCTAAAGCATCCTGTAAAGATGTGGCTCCTGGTGTGCTGACATTTTCAAGAAAAACTGTATTTTTCAACGCTGATCGGCCGACCAGCGTTGGAGAAAACTGGCTTTTTTTTCAAAAAGGGCTCCTAGTTTTTCATATTCAGTTCGTCTGCATTTTCTTTGCAATTGATTACACACCTGTGAAGACTACAAGCCTGCTAGACTGATTCTCTGATCGTACAATTCCCCAAAGTGGATAAATTACTCCGTTTCATCTTAAGTGGGGTCTGGGAACCAGACTACAAGAATATGATTGGTTTTCTTGGTTTTTCCAGCATCTACAAACCCAAAACGTGAAACAAGTCAGTGTAACAATATTTGCTATAAACATACTAATCCTCCAAATCCATTTATTTCTGAAAATTGCAGCAAAAAAAATGTTGTACATTCCCTTTAATATCAACAAACTGGAACTGGTCACCCATTGAAAGTCAGTTCTTTTTGTTCCTGGTTTTAGGGCAAAGGTCTAGATGTAAATTAAAACTGAAAAGGCCAACATTTCAATTTATCATGAAGTCATTCATGTACATACCTCCCATGGAGTCTAGCTGGAGTATCCCTAAGGAGGATGTGCTCTGCATACTAGCAACTGACATCTGAGATGATGTCATGCTCTCCTCGACATCTCTAGATACAAACAAAAGTAATGAACAAATGTAAAGTAAAGTAAAGCAAAGGGGACGAACCTGTATTCACAGGAACGGAGTGCCCATCTCCCTTTCGTTAGCGATTGGGCCAGACTCATATGCTGCTGTGGGGGAATCGCCACACCTCCTCCACAGCGAGTCTGTTACCTTCCCAGCACTGAATAATGCCGGTACCCATTTAACACCTGGGTTGAGGGGAGTAATTGAGGTAAAGCGCCTTACTCAAGGGCACAACATGCATGGCCACGGCGGGGCTCAAACCCACAACCTCACGATCATGAATCCTGTGCTCCACCGCTAGGACCACACGTGCCCACGAATAAATGTGAAATGTGACATACCGGTAAATTTCTGTTTAATAAAGAAAATAAAAAGTTTCCAGTTAAACTGCCAAAAACTATGTGTAAGAGAAAAATATCCATATTAGACAAAAGGTCAGCACCTTGACTATTATACCACATGTACACCTATTATTATTATACCTATTTGACTTTTCAACTTTAAGCAGCAATCATATATTTACTACATGATACAGAGATCCGTGACTGACAATGGGCAATTTAAAGCAAACAATCCTCCTATACAGGAATCGCATAACAAAAATAACTACAAAATCAGTCATTGTTAACCACATTCTAGTCTCAAACCTTATAATCGATCCACAATGGGAAATTAAACCTCACACACAATATCTGGGTGGTACATGTAGTCTACAGCCCAAAATCCACAAAACTACATGTACATGTAGCTACAAGTTTTGCCCATTTTGGCCACTTAATACTGGCAATTTTCAACCAACAAGCTTAGCTTAACTTTACAAGACTAGGTTTGCCTTTAAAAAGCCCTTTTCACACTAGAGCCTCTCAACCCGGGTTGAACTCAACCCTGGGCGAACCCAGTGCCGCCCCGGGTTGAGTTTTTGATTTTTGAACCCCGCGTTCAACCCCGCATCGTTTCACACATGTTTCATGCAAATCAAGCTTATCATGCTCAGTTACTACTGTTTTGAGCCCTGGCAAGAATTTCAACCCGGGTTGAAAATCTCAACCCTGGTCTGGAGCAGGGTTGAGTTCAATCCTGGGCGAAATCAATCTCGGGGTTGACGCAGGGTTGACACAAGGTTGAAATTCTTCAAGTGTGAAACGATGCATGTGTTCAACCCTGCGTCAACCCCAAGATTTGTCTAGTGTGAAAAGGGCTTAAAGGGAAAGGACAACATTTGCAAACATCAAAAAATAAAACTACCAAATCATTTTGAAATACCTTGCTGGACTGTTAGTGAATGACAGTGTAAAGCATCCTGTAAAATCATGGCACCTGGTATACTGTCATTTTCAAGAAAAGTGGTATTTTTGTATCAATTTCCAACGCTGGTCGGCCGACCAGTGTTGGAAAAAACTGGCTTTTTTCAAATACTGGCCTAAATTGACCATCGCACTTGTTTGCAATCGATTACACACCTATGAACGGGTACAAGCCAGCTAGACTGGTTCCCTGACCTTACAATTCCCCAATGTATGTAAACTGCTCTGTTTCTTCTTATATGGAGTCAGGGAACCAGACTACAGGAAAATGATTGTTTTTCTTGGTTTTTATAGCATTTTCGAACCCAAAACCTCAAAAAAGTCAGTGTAACTATATTTGCTATAGATTTCCAACCCCCCAATTCCATCCATTTCTAAAAATTACAGCAAAAGCAAATGATGTATATTCCCTTTGAGTTGGACCCCAAAATTCACAGTGTAGGACATTCATTATTCTCCCTGACACAGTCAGTCAGTGGACAATAGGTTGGCCCAACTGATCCAAGAAAAAGACTTAGCAGCATGCCATAATAAAGCTTAATTTGCACACATGTATTGCTTGTTATTTTAATGTCATTTTCAAACCTGCTAGGTAGAGAACTTACTTTCTGATCTTGCGGCCTGTGGAAACGAACATGGGATCCCCCATCTGACCAAGCGAAGAGCGCAGGGATGAATCAAAGGTCATCTCATGACCTCCTTCTGCCTCTATAGTAACATCCTGGGACAGACTATAACGCTCTGGGAAGGAGTCACTCTGTCTTACAGGATCCATCTTACATGTCTACCAACGAGACAAAGAGAATCACTGAAATGAAGATATGGGCAATTCCATTTTTGATGTACTTTCAAGTTTCCTTGGGCTGTAATTACCTTACTGAAAAGGTTTAATAACTGTTTTCCCCACGGTAGATAGAGTAGACCTAGACCTACCTAAGCACCAAAGATGACATCCAGAAAAATGTGTTATGTATGATAAACAAGACACACAAAATCGGTAACTTACGTTACGAAAATGTCAAAAATGTAACGTGAGTAACATGGAATTGCCCATATGGTTATGGCAATGGTTTCCCCCCCCCCCCCCCAAAAAAAGTCATCAGGATCGAGTCGGAGTCCAAGTCAGAGTCTTTTGCCAATGTGACTTGAGTCGACTCCGAGTCACCAAAATTGTAATTCGAGAAGGACTCCAGTCCCAGTCCTGAACTCAAGTCCAACAACTCTATAGTAGTTTCTATTATAACACCTCACCCGCAGATTCTGTGTCTTGATTGGCCGAGAGCGAGTCACAGGATACTTTCTATTTTTGCCATCTTTCTGTGCACGGCCAAAAGTACTATACCAGTAGCAACCAAAGTACTATACCATTAGCAACCAAAGTACTATACCATGGCGTGGTATTTGTGTGCAAATGCATGCTGCTGTGCGCGTTGAGCGTGGTGCGTATTGTTCCCAAGAGAGCGCACCACAGAGTTAGGTTGAAACATTTCATAAAGGGGTGGTTTGAAAGAGAGAACTACATTTCCCACCAATTTTATATTGAAATAGAAGTTTATTTTAACTGTGTTCAGATTCAAATAATTAAAATATTAAAAACCAAGCAGAATCTGTGGGTGAAGTGTTATAAAACAAATATTGAATGCTTTATCTCATGGTGAAGTAAAACTAGTCTCCCTCGGTGATCCATGGAGCATTCTATTTTCCCTTGGCTTCGCCTCGGGAAAATAGAATGTCCATGGATCACCGAGGGAGGCTATAAATAGAATGCTCCATGGATCACCCTCAGTGATCCATGGAGCATTTTATTTTCCCTCGGCTTCGCCTCGGGAAAATAGAATGTCCATGGATCACCTCAGGAGGCTAGTTTTACTACACCACTCGAAGCAGTCAATATTTGTAAACTATATTATGAACTATTTATTAAAAGTTTACAGAAAATTCCAAGCCCCAGTCAATAACCATACAAGTACAATGTGCCAGAATGTCAGACTAGAATGTTATTCCTCTCAAGACAACGATGCACGGACTTACCCTCGGCTAACTGAAGTTCCCACTGTGGCACTGCCAAACCGATTTTAAAACAGCCTTATTGAGGAAAATGCCAAAAAAAAATCAACAGAAATATAGCGGATTTTAAACTTAATACAAATTTACATTACTGTTTTTTCCAACAGCACAAAGCCATCAGATGCAGTTTGAGAAAGTCCTACATGCATCTAGTTGTGTTGGTTTGAGGACTGCATGGATCACTGGGCCAAATATGGATTATCTCAGGATGTGATCGTTGTGACTCACGTACCCCGGGGTCAACAAAATCTGTTTTTTCCTCCATGAAGTCTGTGCGAGTTAACTATGTACAAACTGTACATCGTGCAAATGTGCACAGTAGGGGTGGGCATTTATGGGTAGTACAGGAACCGGGTACCCTATTGAAAAAAAGGGTACCCGGGTATTCGGGTACCCGTTAACCCTAACCCTGCTGAATCCAACAGGATCCAACTACGTCACATACATTGTGTACCCGATGCAGCCTGTTGGATTGAGCAGTTAACCCCTTGTGTACATTCCTCATGCAAAATGCTGGATTCAGCAGGCAACTGAACCACATTAAAGGAGGGGGGAGGGGGCTGAACAGCACATGACACTGGGGAGTACTGTTAATGATATAAATTGGTGTACATCTTATGCAAACTTGTGCACTTGCATTGTACATCCCTTAACCTTAATGCAAAATGGTGCATTTAAAGCTTTTGTACTGCTGTTCTCTAATTTTATGAAATATTTCAAAATCAGGAAGTTACAAGATGAAAATTTGTTTCCCACCACAACAATTGTGAATGCTTCATCAATCTATAAAATCTTTTGCACTTAAAAAACATCACGCGTTTATTCCAAAATGGGCCTGTGTCTAGCAACGAGTGTTCTTTTTACCCCGTGAACAAGATGGTGCATATTACCGTGAAAGTGCCTATTTGTGCTATGTATGTTTGTTCATATTAGATCAGGTTACGGGTTATGATTAAACAGTGTGGAAAATCTGTAAATGGATTTAGATTTATTTTCGATTAAACATTTAAACGTGTAATGGTCACATCCTTAAACCCGAGTGTGAGGCGCAGCCGCACTGTTGAGCAGTTTAAATTTGTTTTCATTCTCCCAAAAGTAAGAGTTTTCTTCCTTGTTTTAAATCGTATCCTAAATTATCAATTGCAGAATATTTCACATTTTTTTTCTGATTCATGGATCTTGCAGTACCTGTTGTAAGTTCAGATTCCCGTTTCCTGAAAACGAACTCATGATGACAATGTGAAAAGCACGGAACCAGGATTCCTCACACTAGTCACAGTACTAAAAATGTTTAAGTCCCCCCAGAAAAATCACTGTGCATGTTCTGTAAAGTGCCGGTGTCACATGAAAATCAGACTCGTATGAAAATCGGACTCTTTTTCCCTTTAATTGGTTAAACCCTCTCACGTGACCGGTCCCTCTCCTAATTATCTATGCATGAGCATGCGCAATACCACCAATGAGTCCGTATTTCATAAAGCCTAAATTCATGCTACACCGGTATATGAAAAAAAAATTAAAACAATCGTGGACCGGATCACAGATACACTCAAACAGGCTAATGTCAGACAAGTCGACCGTTGAGACAACTCGACTCGGGACAAGTCGACCGTTGAGACAAGTCGACCGTTGAGACAACTCGACTCGGGACACTTCGACCGTTGAGACAGCTCGACTTAATGGAAATGTATACACGTGGAGTGGAAAAAGTTGCAAAATTCTGTAGCAGGACCGGTCCCGGGTGCGGCGCGGGCATACTCGATGCACAGAGGGCGCGCGGGCACGTCGACCGGCGCGGCAAGTGGGCTTACAGGCCCGGCACAAACGATGTCACCGTGCACAGTACGGCCACGTTGCCCGACCGGGGATGGAATAGTGGGCGCACAGGCCCGGCAAAACAATGCCCCCGTGCACACTGTACGGCCACGTTGACCGGGGATAAGTGCGCGCACAGGCCCGGCACAAACGATGCCACCGTGCACGGTAGGCCTACAGTCACGCTGACCGGGGATGCGCGCAAAGGCCTGGAAAAAACGAACGATGTGCACGGACAATCACGCTGCACTAAATCGGCTCTGTTATATGCAACAAAAAAAATCATGTGTCATAACTGTCAAACGGCGATCATCCGCCGTCAAAATCCCCGGTACTATCCCCAAAACTAGGCCCAAAAACATGCGAGGCGACTTGTCTCAACGGTCGACTTGTCTTTCCATTTAGCACACATACGGTCGAGTTGTCTCAACGGGCGAGTTGTCTCAGCGGTCGACTTCTCCCGAGTCGAGTTGTCTGACCCCCAAACAGGCAATAGGCCTAGGCCTATACATCGCTGTCATTTAGCCAAATATCAAAATGGGAGCAAGTTTTGAAATTCAAGTTAGGCCTAACATTAAACTTATAGCGAAACTGATCCTGAAAAAAAAAACATTCCAGTTGCCTACCACTAGTAGTCGGTAAGGGGCGAGTCGGCCAGGGGCGAGTTGACCTGACACCGGGCGAGGCAACCCTTGCTCTTGTGGTTAGGCCAATGCCCAATTTACGGACATTACTTTTTCGGTCCCCTGCCGGTCAATGCCGGTACATTGTGTACTTCAACTTCAAAACAAAATTTGATAACACTAAACTTGGTCATCATGTGTTCACAAGATGTCTTTATTACAATACAAGTGTTATTTATATTACCAATATAGAAGCCATAACTACAAGTATTTGAAGCTTGCCAACATGTTTGTTATGACTCACACTCCCCCTCCCGGCCCCATCCGCCAACGCTATGGACAGCCAGCGTTGCAACTTCATGCAATTTGCAAGGGGACTACGAATTTTACTCGCAACTTCTGTGTTATTTTTGTGCAAAATCAATCTTCATTCTTGCCTTGAACTCACCTACTTATTTAGTAACACAATGCCGAATTAACAGAGCAGTAACTGTAGCTTCATGTGGGTTGGTATAGTCAATGCAGAATGAAAAAGTAGTTGGGCAAAATCGCTTTTCGTCCCCGTGATTTCTAACATGTCAAACGCAGTGCATGCATGCAGAAACCAAGTTGCGCGCCATGCATGAAGTGGCTATGAAAATAATGTACGGTAGCTTTGAAAAGACAGCGTCTAGATACAGCTTGCAAAAACTAGCCTGTTGTATCGTTTTGTGAAGACCATATGGCTCTACTTGACGGACTTCTGCGAGTTTGTGTTCTGAGTCGATTTAGGCTACTTCCAATGTATTTCAAGGTCCTAATTAGCCTGATATGCTTATCTGAAAATCGCCGTATCTTCGCTTGCAATTAAGGTGTTTTGGTGCATGAGGTTGGGGTTATGCAAAACGTTTACTGTTGCTGATATCAAGCTCTTCAGAGGTCACTTGCATATTTTATATATGCATGAAATGGTGCCAATCAGTGGGGTTTTTTTTAGAGAAACACATTTTGTGCAACTTTCTACAACTCTTAAATGTATGAAACTATTAGACATCCAATTAAAAATTGGTATTATTGTATTGAGAAAAAAAAAGCATTTCCTACATTGAAAATGCATATGCTGTCCTGGACAACTGAGGGCGCTGTTGCTGTGATATCATTCCAGGAAGACACTGTTCAGCAGTGACTTACTGTCATTGACTGAATGAAACAACAAAAAAATCACAAAAGAAAAGAACATTTACAACTGCAAAATATCCACACTTCTGGCAACTGTTGGTGCTGAACTAGTTGAAACAGTGAGGTTTCTGCCTAAAATGACATCACAGTTTCGTTTGTGAATATGGAAATTGCATAAGCATAACAACCAAGGCACCAAACTGCCCTTGAAAATGGCAAAACGAAAATTGAAAATAAGGTTAACTGGGACACAAATATGCATTTTCAAGGATTGCATTTAAAACAAATGCTTTCAGTTGGAAATTTTTGATGATTCGCGGACAAAACAATATATTTATTATAAATAGCTGAATCATACTCCATTTTGCAATTAATCTAGAGCGATTCTCAGAGTATGATTATTTTTTTAAACAACATTAATACATGTAATTGTATGAAGCCCGGGAAGGGACAGGGTGGAATTTTTTTTTGTAATTTGCTAAATCGTTCCCACGAAGACTAATTCGTTCCCACGAATTGCTAATTCGTTCCCACGAATTGCTAATTCGTTCCCACGAATTACCAACTCGTTCCCACGAATTAGTAACGCGTTCCCGGATGCACGAGTTAATTAGCAATTCGTTCCCACGAATTAGGAAATCGTGCGAACGAAATAGCAATTCGTGCAAACGAAATAGCAATTCGTGCGAACGAAATAGCAATTCGTGCGAACGAGTTAGCAATTCGTGCGAACGAATTAGTAATTCGTGGGAACGAGTTAGCAATTCGTGCGAACGATCACGAATTAGCAAATTACAAAAAAAAAAATTCCACCCTGTCCCTTCCCGGGCTTCATATTATAATTGAAATATCAAGTCAAATTCATTGAAAATCCTAGACGACACCTTGATCAAGGTTATCCATGCAGTTTATTTAGACTTGCAGAAAGAATTTGATTCAGTGCCTCGTAACCGTCTCTTAAGGAAGTTAAAAGGATGTGGCGTTTTTGGTCAAATTTTTGACTGAATATTGAAGCCTTCTTAAAAGGTCGTAGACAGAAGGGGAAGGTTGCCGTACATGCTTCAGAGTGGTCTGATGTCAAGTGGAATTCCTCAAGGTACCTAGTGTGTTTATCGCCTGTGTTGTTCTTGATGTATTAAAAAAGAGTTGTTTCCTTATTTGTTTTTTTTTTTTATTTTTGCTGATGATACCAAGATTACACCATAGAAAACCGGCAGGAAGACCTGACAGCACTTGATAAGTGGTCCAAGCGGCAACTTAAAAAAATGTATCCAAAGAAATGTAGAGTCATGCGATCGGTGTTGACATAAGCGCAATTCTACTTAATATCAAATGAAGGCAAGTGGAAGTGATGATCTGAAAGATATCTCGTCAGAGAAAGACGTAGGTGTTGTCTTTGACTCAACTTGAAATTCCGTGACCATTATCAACTCTGTGGTTTCAAGTCGAAAGCTAACAGAATGATTAAGCGGACAATTACTCAAATGGATTGTGACAGCTTTTGTGTCTGTACAATTACAAATCCCTGGTACGACCTAGTTGTGTCTGGTCTCCATTTTGATTAATGGCTCAAAAGGGTAAGTATACACACAATTAGACTGGAATTTAAAGAATTGGGTGGGGCCTTTTAATTATGTACATGTACATTGCAGTGAGCATGTGAGGCAGTGGTGAGTGCATGACTACATGTGCGCCTAGTACATCTACCCATGGTCAGTTGTCTTGCTGCTTATTGCAATATCACCAGTGGTCAAGCTCTGTCCATTTTCAAGTTTATGGCAAGCTTTTACACTGTCATCAGAGTTTTTGCTCTTTGGGGTTTTGCCAAATATTGTTATCCCGATTTTGCTTGCTTGAGAAGTGTCTTCTTTTGGAAGTACATGTACATGTACTGCTTGACTCTCCAGTTTGACTTTGGGAGACTGACTTGTGACCGGAGGCATTGATGGAGGCCACACATCTAGAGCCCTTAGTGTTGGTTCACTACCACTGTCTACCAGACTGCCATATGTGTCTGTTTCCTATGGTTGAGACGCTCTGTTATCTGGTTTTTCCAGTATCGCATGAAATTTGCCTTTTAAGTTTTACCGTTTTATTGGTTGAACGTTCACAATCATCACGTAGGCATGTGCAACGCTACCAGTGAGTCATTTATCATAGTCCTAAATTCACAAAACACCGGACAGCTGCGTTTTGCGGCACATCGAGCGCCAATCTCCATATAAGGAGTTGTTTACGTCTACTTCGCGAAACATGAAGTAAAATTGTTTAACAAAATCGCTGGATTTTTTTTTTAACTTGTTTTGACTTTTGGACCGAAAAGTTTTGATTTATCGGACCGAAAAAGGTATTGTATGAATGCGAATAAGTTACCCATTCCCATTAATGAAAGGGAATGGTTATTAAACACTTGTTTAAGACCGGTTGGAGTCTGGATGCTGATAAATAAAGGAAAAGAGACAAAAATCGCCATCAATATTTCAGGAAAAAAAGAGTCGACTTGCTCCTTATATTCAAAACACACAATCTGACAGTAAAAATAATGTTTCAGTCGGGACTCAAATAATTAAAATCTCATTTGTATCTGAATGCCTGAGTGTGTAATCTGTTAAATATACACTCAGCTCAATAGTTCCAACGATGGCATTCCACGAACAGCTATAAAAAAAATAGGTTCTTTTAGCAGAACATGCAGAACTTCTGATAGCATGGATCAATGTCAGTAATTATTTCTTCCCTTTTTCAGATGAGTGGACGAACATGCTCTTTTAAGACATACTTCATCGACAAAATGAGGAACAAATATTAAAAAGAAAGGAAAATCAAAGGACATTTTTCTAAGAAAATAAATACGACGCCCTATGAGATGGACGGAGGGTTTTGATTGGATTTTTAATGACAAAAATACCAGACGAAATATGTATTTAGCTACTGGAAAAAAATCGTACTGTGCACATGTATGGCGTCATATTCAAATTTTGGCTTGATATTTTAAATGATTCGTTTTATCCCATATATGGCGTAAAACGGCCCAGTGATTGAAATGTTTTAATTGCCCTGTAGCCATGGCAACAATGATCGAAGTTGCGCTTACATTGTTGCACTGTTAATCTTTACACCTAACACCGAGTCCCTTTGACAGTTAATTTCGTTCATATTGGCCTGAGAAGTTAAGTGTACTGTTTGATCTTACTCTCCCCTAGTACCATTTGCATGTATATTTTGTACGCGAATTTGATTAAAGATTTTGGTCAACTGCAACACAGGCCCTACATGCATTTTGATGATAGTTTTAATAAGTATATGAACCCGTAACATAGTTTAATACATGCGTACATGTACAAAAAATGTATACCACTCTACGAGGGTAGTTCGCCCTCCAGGCAAGTATAGCTAGATGTCAAGTGGTGCGGGGAAGGGGAATAAGCTCAATTACGGTGCCAACTACATACTTTACTCCATTGTTTTCGTACACAGGAGTGGTGACGATTTGTCAACATTGTGGGCAATTCGAAAAGGGAATCTGAGGGACACTTCTCAAACATGTTAGGCCTTTACCCCTATATACATGTACATATACATTGTAATATACACGTTATTAATTATATACCCAAGTTTAATGCCCATGCTCCGCAGTAAACGTGGGTCTACTGTCGAGTTTACGTGAAATGGGTGGCGGAAGATCAATATCTTCAATATAAATATCAATATAAAGCACCGTACGGTGGAAAGAAGTATTTTTCCATTAAAAACAACAACATATTTTAATACCAGATGTCCGTAATCCTCAACAAAATAATACATGTACAATTGTAGTAATCAGAAAATCGCCTTACAAACTGAAAAAAATTAATCATTCCTTTATAATCTTAGCTATTTTCGCTGCAGTCAATTTCACCCAGTTACTTCTTATTTGTTGTCAGTACACGTCGTTTCATAACAAAACGTCGTTTCAAAATGAACAAAATACACAAAGCAAACTCGTAGAAAAAAACAAAATGTGCAAAATATCAAAGGCCAAATGACTTATGTCACCTTATCAAATGTTAACACTGTAATAAGCCATTTAATAGCAAGATATTAAATTTTCAATATTTCATTCTCCACGAAACTTGACTATCCTACCAAAATACAATCTAAAACAAGCCCAGTGAGCTAATCTTGAATGGAGACTCCGTCGTCGGCTAACTCATTAGCCTTCTCAGATTATGACGGACTGGTTTTGTTGTACGTCCATTATACCGTGTATATCAGGTGCAAAGTAAATTTTTACTATCGTAGCCTTTTTAGTTCAGTCATACAATGTGCTTCTCCAATGGCACACATTGCATAGGGGGCCAGGAGTTCGGTCGTCCCAAGCAACTATTAGGTACTGAAGATATGGGCGTACACCCTGACAACTTATCGCTAGTAGCGTATACCACAGGATACTGATGCCAGCTTCGAAGCTTGGCCTGACGGTGGTAGAGGGCCTCTCTCTCGTGAAGGGCCTGGTTCCAGTAATGATCGTACAGGCTTTCGAAAACTCGAACTTCTTCGGGGGTTCTAGGAACGCCATCTCGTGGCACAAGGTTCCATGGTGTGTATGACTTGGCGGTTGGACACAGAGTGGCTGATTTGAAACCATAAACGTCGGGATTCGAGGAAGAGGGTCGTCGCATGACATACGGCAGTACACGTGAAAAAGAAGACGCATTTGTGGTGTTGTGTTTCATGGTACTCTGGTCTGTGACTGCGACACGTGACTCAGGATGAAGACAAACTGACGAGTTGTCTTTGCAAGTCTCTTCATCTGTTGGCGAATTCAAGAAGCGGCTAATAGGCAGGTTGTGATGTGTACGATAATGCACATCATTTCTGGGGGTGCTAACCTCAGGAAGCCCTGATACGGGGGAAGGATTTGGTTGACTGCGGGAGCTTTCGGCTGCTTTGCGTGGGGAGTGGAACTTATCTGTGGACGAAGTATGCATGCTCAAGTCAAGAGGAAGTAACTGAACGGAAGTGTCATCTCCTTTTGACGAGGAAGCTGATGCTGGTTCCACTGGTTGATCTATGTGGACTGTGGGTGGTAAAACACTCGCTCCAGCCGGCAATACAATGGGAGATGATTCAATAGGCTGATCATCGAAAACGGGGCTTGGTGCGGTACTGCCACCTACATGCTGCACCTCAGGTGGGGTGCCGTTGCTTTGCCATCGTGGCTCCGGTACAGTGGACTGATCATAGAAGATTGTTGGATGACTTGGAGCCAACTGGTGCAAGGATGGCTCGGATGGTCTCGGGATCTTGACAGAACTGTTGCATTGCCAGCTCGGCTTGGCTGCATGGCAATGGCTGCAGTCTGGATTCATGGCCCAGAAGTTGTCCTTGCCGAACGGCCTCTTGCTGTTTCGCAGCAGCTTCACGAAACAGCGACTGGAGGAGAGGTTGTGACGGACGCTGTTCTTCCAGCCCACGTAGCTTCCCTGGAAACATTCGTTGTTTTCCTCCAGATAGGCAACAATCTCTCTCAATGTGAGCATGCAGTGGGGAGAGGCCTGTGAGGGAACGAAACAAATTAAGAATTTAACGTTGAATTTATGGTATAGTGACGAACAATTTTGTCAGAATAAGGGTTCGAATTTGAAACCCGTTTTAAAAAGAGACTTATAAGCCCAAAGGTAAGTGCTGGGGGAGGGGTTCGGACCGCAAGACCCCCGTAGAAATAGTTGGTTAAGGTATTGTCATTGAACTCCTAGGAGATTGATCCCAGGATCCCAGGAAGAGTACACAATATATGAAAAGTTGGGATCGAAATGACCAAGTCCTGAACAAGGAAAAGAATTCAGACCTTTCTGCATTGTGCATTTCTTTTTTTAGTTTGTTACTAAAACGGTCACCAGCGCTCCACTGAACGTGCTCAAAATATAACTTATTGGCCTGCATGTACATTCCATGTGCACGTCTACAGCACATTTTAAACATTGACATGTATTAAGTAGAGCCTGAAAGCCCTAGGGGTGCACGCCTGTAAATAGGCCAAACATCCGCCCGCCGAGCTCATGAATAAAAGTTATACCCTCAAAATATTCTATATTAGAGAGTTTTGAGTGCCATAAAGTTGGGGAATTGAAGAGATATAGTAATGAACCTCTGTCCCGGACATTGGGCTTCCAATTCTGAGCCTTTTGGATGCTATTGGGCTCGAAAGTGGCGCTATTTTGCCATGTTGTGGAGGGATCATTTTTCAAGATGGCTACTTTTCCGCTTTGGGGAAAATAGGGGTCGTCTTTTTTGGGTGAGAATATCTCGAAAAGTCAATGGTCAACCCACCAAAAAATGAAAAGAAAAATGAAAGATGACACATCGATCATCATTTTTCTGTGCAGCTTGAATACCTGTGAGAGTTCTGAGTATTTTTAAAAGAATTTTGAAGTATGCGCATTTAGCACTAGTGTCTATGGGATTTTTTTTGCAGGGTTGCACCCCTAGTGCCGCACTTTCGGACTCCTTGGGAAATAAAGGTGCAGACATTCTTTTAAAATGCTATTATTTTTTGGCACATTGATTTCTTCAAAAAATAAATTCGATAGAAGGCCTTCAATTTATGGAAACTACATTGACGCCTGATGTGACCTCTCACCTCCGAAAATCTAAAATACATGTGGACTAGTGGAACTGGGTCCTACTGTACAACGATGAAATTGTATGAAATAATATTGTGGCGGTCATGGGGTGAAAGCTGAAAATTATATAGGAGAATAAAATGGCATACATATTTTTTAAAATAAACTCGAAGGACTCGTTATCATTTACAAACAAATCTAAAATGACGTTAACAAGATCTGTATTCAAGCAAGCCGGACTAAATCTAGATCCCATGGGCTTTAAGTAGGTAAATCTTCGCGTCGTCATCATTTTCGTTCTCACGCAGGTACGCGATGCGAAAACAAAAAGGTGATCGAACAAGGAGACCTAGGTATGAACATGCCGGATGTGAAAGGTCGTAAGTAAAATACGTGTTTATACCTCCAACTGAGTTTTCAGCATTTTTTCTTGTGGAATGCCAAGATAAAATACCTACATGAATGGTTTGTTTTGGGTGATTACGGCTAGAAATCATTCTGTCAAAAAATCATAGCAAGTGAAAGGGCAACCCCTTGTAAAATGTTCATTGGTGGGTCACGTCCGGAAGGTCAATGATAAAATTGCGTACTTTCAGGCTACATTGTTACACAGTCCAAACGCGCACCCGACTCGAGCATAGCCTTTGTTTCCATCTTCTTTTCTACTGTTGTTTCAAAAAAGGGGGGGATTGTTAAAACAAAAAGGTGGACTTGTTAAAATAGGGCACTCTTTACAAATGGGGGTTAACGCTGGTGAAAAAGGCACTTGAATGAAAAAAATAGGCAATTTTTACAAAATATTTGGGAACCCCCTCCCCCTGGCTTCCCCTCTGATACGATAACCATTCCTTTATCAAAATGACGCATGCGCATTATGGACCTAGACTGTACTTGATAGAGAACACAAAAATTGCATCCCGGAACGGTACTCCGAAAGAGGGCGTTTTCAAAACGAACCGATATCACCCACGATCTTTTATCACAACGTCTTGGAAATCTATTAAGTGTGCTTTTTTAAGGAATAAATTGTATTTGAGACTAAAAAGGTACTAAAAAAAAAAAAAAAGTCGTATACAAGAGGGCCCACAATAACACTTACAACACTATAACCAAAATTATTGTGCGCCGTGATAGCAGTGCGATTTAGTGTGACCCAATTTCGAATTTAGTCTGGTTCCCAGACCAAACGATTCTGACTATTCCTGATGAATCTTAGGTCAGGCAGCCTCCGTGGCTAAAAATAAACATGACGACATTGATGGCCCTTTTTCAAACCTCGGCTTCGTTTCCGATTTCGCTTTATCGCTTGTAGCTTTTAATGTTCTGATCAAATTTTTTAATAAATCACTTGCTTCGTAATATCATACAGTTATGATAATACAGTTTGATGTTTCTGTAAGATAACATTGACTAATGTTGATCTGGAATCTTCAAAATTTGGCACCAAAATAGCACTGTTCGCAGGCGGAGCCGAATGAAGACCGAGTTTTGGAAAATCTCGGTAACGGTCGTCAAATTCAAAATTGTACATGACGCAGCAAAAAGTTCGCCCATACGATCCGAGTATAATTGATGCACAAAATCGTCGTTGAATTTCAAGTTTTCTAGATGAAAGCAATGAATATTAATAATCAACTCATTTAAAATAAAATTAACAAGCAATTAGCAGTTAATTAAACCTATATTATATACTCGGAAATACTCGGGCGCTATCCGATTGTCAACGAAACGACTTCGGCAAACTTCGGAAATTTTCGGAAAAAGGAGGATTTCCTCCCGTTTTCGTGACGTGACGTAAATTGTAATACAATGTATTACCGGAGGCTACCGGACCTAAGACTCATCAGAAATAGTCGGAAACTTTTGGTCTGGGAACCAGACTATTTCGAATTACCCGATCGTGAGCCCTACTACTCAGCTGCGACAAAAAGCGACGATGTCAAAGTAGGCCCAACGGTTTTCAAAACGTACGCCTTCGACTTGCATTGGGCCTGCAGCAAAGTCACCTGGTGCAAATACAATAAGAAAAGACTTGGCGTCGACAGGAACAACAGTACAAAGGGAAAATCCAGACCGCATGTTACATCCACAAATAAGTAATGTTAATCTTATCTTTACATTTTATTCAAGACCCAAAGTTTCCTATATGGCTTTAACTAACCACTAATTTAATGTCCACGCACGATCACCATGCAGTTGCAACCAAATATATACATATATACAACTTGTGTTAGAGGGCCAGTGTCTTTGTTTATTTAAAGTGTTTGAGCTCTTAATTTTTTTGACAAGTGAAGCAACAGTCCGCTGCCCGTTTTCGTCAGATGCAGAACGTTCAACGCGTCTATGGTTCCGACTTAAACAAAAAGTTCAATAAAATGGGTTAATTCAAAGACCAAAGATTACATCAGTGTCTACACAGTTTCCTTATAGGACAGCAATGTCATAGTGTGCACAATCCGGAGAAACCAGCAAGTGATTAGTTTCTTTGATGTCGTATCGCGTGGCATTGTTGAGTTGGCATTTTTTTCCATCGATGTTGAAAGAACGGCAGCGCCAGTCTCTCTTGCAGAGCAGGCAACATTGTGAGGCCATCCTGATAGTGATAGTCTGGTAGGTGTGACTATGCATGCAGCGTCCCATGGCTGCAATGACACACCGAGCATCCTTGCAGCATTGTCTTTTCAAAGCGGGACGCTCGCACACAGCGTATTTCCAACCATCACACTTCTGCGCGATCCACATCGGGTAGTGAACGCTCATCGCTGCACAGTTCAGTTCATCAGGTGTGCCACTTGGGTGTGTCGGATAGAACCATTCAGCGCCAAGATAGAGGGAACTGGACTCACTGCCATCACAGACCCAAACACCTTCAGTCAGGACATCTGTGCATCCCGTCCAGACACCATGGCCCACGGCAGCTGATCCAGCCTTGAAAGGTATGCCCCGAGAAGCCGTAAAGATCTTCCAGATGAACTCGTACTCTTCCAATGAATTGGGTGTGGCCAGACGCCCGTCCAATTTGTGACACTGGCTCGTGGCGTTGACCCTTTTGCGAACGCCTTTAAGAGTTTTGTAACAATTACCCTCCCATCCGTCCCAGCCGTTCGGGCAGAGTTGCCGATCGGGAGCAGGGCATGGGTTTGTACTAGCCAACGTCATAAACGTGAGGGCGAGCACACAATACATGAGGGCCGACATCGTGCCGGTCTTTCTCAAAATACGATGGAGAAATGAGGTAGAGCAAATGAGCGTGCCAATTTAACCGTTGGAATAAAATAGGATGAATGCAAACACTCGCGAGTCTAAAATAGACATGCAAACAAGTTAAGGTGACGTGTGGAAAAATAATGGTATATACGCTCGGCTCCGGTTCTTGTTCACAGGTCAATCAGTATTGAGTGATTACAAGAAATTAGAGAAATCTTCATTGCAATTAAAAGAGGCTCAAAATAATCCAAGCGGCACATGCGTCGATAACAGATCACAATGAATAAAGGTACCTTTTTTTGCAAAAGCGCTTATACTTAACTTTCACTTTATTTTCTGTAATGAACAGTGGACGAAGCAGGCAAGGTTTGTGTGTACACGCATCGCGCCAAACAAGTCAATAGCATCACAAGATCAATATGTGGTATACATTATAGAAAGATGTGAGCGAGCATGCGTACGAGACTTTAAAATGAATCGATTGAAATTAGATGGGAGGGGAGATGTATACGAGTACACTGGAGAGATCAATGTCATAGTGACTTGGAAAATGAAAAGAAGCAACTGTTTACAACAAAGGACCATTGTAATCCATTGCACTTGTGGCCATGAACGACTAAAAATCGATTAAAACGAGCTCCGGATTTACTTTCCACCTGAACGAATTGCCATTGTGATAGCAGGTTGTACTGTGTCCATTTTTTGAATCCACTCAACAAGCTTCCCGTGTATTGATCCTATTTGGTCGCACCCTGAGGCACTGTATTACCAAAAAAAATGTATTCAGAAACCACAAGCGAAAATACACTGTTCTCTCTCTTTGAAATAAAATAAGCTGCTTTATGATCAAAAGGATATAAAGAGCAGCAGTTATAAGTTCTCATTACACTGTAGCCCAGTAAGAGTAGGCCCTGACATTTTAGTTAAACAGTAAATATTGGTGGCAAAGTGTTTATTAGGACTCCAACTATCTCAAGAAGATTCAACCAAAATCAACTTTGGGGGAAAATGATAATTAACTAATTAAACAAAACAATAGGCTTCACAACATGGGCTTCACAACATGGGCTTCACAACATGGGCTTCACAACATAGACATGTATTTCCGACACTGGAGCGATCTCCTACACTTTGAATAGTTGAGCAAGGATTTTTGCAAGTTTCAAACTTAAACGAATATGAAATGGCAAAGGCACCAGCTTAAAATTGATGACCAAATATTGTTATTGTTTAAGAACTTCATTGTTGTCATCGCCATTTACATTGTCTGCATCTCAAACTACAAAATGGCTTCTGCTCTAAAAGTTGATAAAAAAAAGTCTGAAAGAGAATCCAAATCTAAGCCTTTGATTATGAATTTCAATTGAGCTTTTATATTGTTAAAATCCATTGCGTGCCCCTGCAGAAAATGAGCTCCCTGGCAGCAAAGTGGATCCCTTAGCTATAGTCACGCCACTGCGTTTACTTTTCAGCCATGTCTACTTTCGCGTGGCTACCCATAAATTGCCCGTAACTACTAAAAAAATTATCAATCTAACTACTGATTACTCAACCCCAAAAAAGTCCCCGCTTAATACCTTTTTGTCTAACTCAAAAACTACCGGGCACATCTTGCTCAAATTACGACTAATCAGTACAGAAATTCCTTAGCAATCCAGCCATACTTTTTGTTTGGCCCAAAACAGTGATAACGTGTACCAAATTATGCAATTAATGGCAAATGCTACCGAAAAAAGTTGCATTTTTGTATGTGCAAGGTGAGTGTGAACCACAACCTGCACGTATACAAAAGTGCAACTGTTTTCGGTATCATTTGTCATAAATTGCATAAATTCGTACATATTATCACCTTTTTTGGGGGACCAAACAAAGAGTATGGCTCGATTACTAAGGAATTACTGTACTGATTAGTCGTTATTTGAGCAAGATGTGGCCAGTAGTTATTGAGTTGGACAAAAAAAGTATTGAAAGGACACTTTCTTTTTTGGTTTAGTGTAGTCGCATGATCTAATTTAATTGAGCTCCATTGTTAATTCCGATTTAATAGACACAGGGTGAGTAAGGGATAAGATACTCTAAGCAAAGTAAGGTATGCATATTAGAAATGCAACAAAAAATGATTGATGCAACAAACTTTGTAAGCCCAATCATTGACGAAACGGAACTCAACCCATCAAACCCCAACAGCATGATTTGTTGGAATTTGTCAGGATGGGTACAGTACCCCTAAACTGACAGTCTTTTACATTGGCTTGGCACACCTCCAGAAACTAAAACAGAAATATGTGTGTACAGTTTCCCATATGGTGTTGGAATTTGCCAGGATGGGTATGGTTCCTAGTAAATCATGCTAGGGAGTTAGGGTTGGATAAAAAAAAACACATGACGGGTTTAATATTTAGGTGGTACGTTTTAACGCAATGTCATCATGCCGCAACAAATACTTTGAAGGTCTCTGAATTTTTTAACACCATAGCCTACGGATACAACACGGCTAACGGAGAAGGAAGACATGGAAAGGTCTACAGTCAACTCGACCGTTTGACAACTCGTCGGTTGTGCCGGCTAGATGGGCCACTGTGCGTTCAAATTGAGAGTCAAGTCGCCGATGGAATTCGGTCCGATGGACACGGCACATTACACTAGAGCTGCTCTTCAGGATATAGATATATATCAATATGTATAATCGCGCTTACATCAAAACGGCGCATTTTAAAAGCTTTCGTATTAGTTTCTCCACTGAGGGTCGCACTAAACAGCGTCAACACAGCGTCAACACAGCGTCAACACACCGTCAACACATCCAAAACACATTCTGAATTGACAAAAAGGGCATATAATTGTGAAACATACAATAAAAGAGAATTTCCATTGGATTGAGTTTCCATTTCGTTGTTAAAAATATCGTATTTTCACGCGAAAAAAATGACCTTAACTTGCACGGCCGTTGTCCGCCATCTTGACTTCGCACAAAGCTTGGACTACACCATTTCAAGTAGGGGTGTGAAGGTAATGACATTATCTTGTCATAAACAACATAGGGCGCCTTGCTGCAGACTAGACAGAGGGATACCAGATCTGTGTGAGGACTAAGGATCGGAGGAGTGGCAGATCATTATTTTGTGAGTTGTGTTTATGTTTTGGTCTTTGCAGATATTTTTAACACTGGCGACCCCGGCCGCGTCCCTCTCTGTTGGTTTATTGTACAACGCTATCACCCTTTAGAATAATGGTATAGTCCGCGCTGCCACTGAGGCAACATGGCGGGTGTTCGGCAGCCGATTTCGGAGCGGCACGGAGAGCCAATTTTCTTGAACTAAAAATCGCGATTTTCAGACGTTTAACCTATTGATTTTAAGCACAAATCTTGTTTCTGTCCATACTGTATGGGTTGCATACTGCTTTTGTCAATTTTAATGCATTTAGGATGTGTTGACGCTGTGTTGACGCTGTGTTGACGCTTTGGAGTGTGTTGACGCTGTGTTGACGCTGTTTAGTATGTAGTGCTATTGACTACTTTAGGATGTTCGAAAAAAAACTCAAGATTTTAGCCCACCCCTTGTCAAAAATTTGGGACGGGGATATATACCCCCGGGTTTTACGCCCCTGCGTTTTAGTCGAGTACGTTGTACAACAGACGAGTTGGCACAACGGATGGTTTGAGTCGAGCTGGCAAAGGGTCGATTGACTAGATATGTCATAACACAAATGCTTAATGCTCAATTGTTACGAATCTTATTTTCTTCAGAAACATTATAATAGATTATATTTTCACATATTTCGGAGTCTGTATTTACCTTGATAGCCATTGTGATGAGCTCGACGTAAGAATAAGGCGCACTAACTCTGCGTTTGTAACCAGGCCTCCTGATGCCCTTCGTTGACAACCTCCGACGGGCCGGGGCTCTGGGTCGGACATCGCCGTGATTTGTGCTGGGTTTCCGGCCATGGTCTGCCGACTGGTCTTCCACAAGGTTGCCCAACAGGTGTCCTCCGTTCTCCTTCTTGAATTTTTTGAGTGATATCATCTTGGCTCCACTTTAAAAAATGTAATCAAAGTAACGAGACAATTTTCCCCCGAAGTGCATCCAGGGCCAAAGCTCGCGTAATACTGAAGGGTTATCCAATAAACGATTGCCTGTGTCACTGTACTGTGTGGCCTAGCTGGAATCACTGGTGTGATTCCCTGGAATTGCATTCATTTTGCTCGGCCTTTTCAGGGAGAGTCTAATAAAGCAATTTGCATGCGTAACTTTTGCCAAGCCCGCAGATTGTTTATCAGGGTCTTCAAAGGTTGAATAGCTCGCAACTAACAAAAAGTTGTGTCCCGGCTGGCGTCTCTATTGAAATTTGTTCTTTTAAAGAATGCCATTCATCCCTCTATAAGGCATTATAAGAAATTCGGTGACAATTGCAAAACAAACTCAGTCATCCATTTACGGCCACATTCAGCTGTGAACGCCTGAGAGGCCACTGGTACCTTTCTGCCAAGGGAATCCTATTGTGTGGTTTAGTGGGTAACATTGGCGTTTGGCATGGTGTCTAGCTGGTGCAATAAAGCGCGGCAACATCACAGGAATGATCCATACAAAGCCGCAGATGCCTCAAACGCGAGCATCTTAATTGTCTTGTTTTAATTGCATTAGGGGGGGGTGATGGATTTAGTTAGTTCATCTTTAAAAAACAGACAATTAAGTTTGCGTGCGGTTTACGCAGTTTAGGACGCTCTTTCTCTGTATGTGTGCAGCAGCGCTTGCCGCTCGAAAGCCGCATTTCACAAGTGAAATAATTAATACGTTATCTAACGTTACCGAAGATAGAGATTACAAAAAGCAAGACAAATTAAATTTACAATCTCGAGGTTTGATTCACGGCGAAGGAAAGCCTTACCACATGTTAGGAGGGGGCAATCAAGCATAAATAAGACCACACGAATAACCAAGGCAGAATCTACTACGTTTGGGTATTGTTTGCAGGGACTGCAACAATTTGTTTCCATATCTTCCTTTGGATTTGCGAGGGCGTCGTGTAATTAGATAAAAGTTGGTGGCTAAAAAGGAACTGACGATGTTTTGGAGCGGGTCAAGGTTAATACACAAAGTGCGGTAGAATTGAGATAAATTGCGCATTTTATGGCCATTGTCCAAATCCGTCACAGACGTGTTGCAATCACTGACCGGTGAATTAAAAGTGAGAAGTTTTGTTGAAGTTTTTGAACAGGAGAAACTGCACTGCATGGAGAAATTTCTTCATTGTCACAGTAACAATGCACAACAAGGTTGATATTCTTCGTCTTGATTTTGTTTTATAGGACTTGACATGGACCGAATAGGTTGCGTCCGATATTATTATACAAAATATTGACTGTTTCGACGGTAGTATTCGCATCGGGAAAATAGAATCATGGATCACCTCGGGAGGCTATCCCAAGGTGATCCATGAGTATATATGAAAATATAGAATGCTCCATGGATCACCGAGGGAGGCTAGTTTTACTACACCACGAGATAAAGGAGTCAATATTTGTTTTATAACACCTCTCCCTCAGATTCTGCTCAATTTTAAGCGATAACCGATTAATGTAATCTAAATGCAATTAAAATCTACTTCTTTTTGAAAACGAAATTAGTTGAAAATTTACTTGCAGTTTGAACCTAACAGCGCTAGCGCTTTAACGCTTGGAGGCTACGGGTATAGTACCTAGCTTTGTTGGTACGCATACGGTAAAGTACTTTCAGCAGCGTAGCTAGGGTTCTCATCCGGGGGGGGGGGGAGGCGCACAAAAAAATGGAGTGGAGAGAGAAGTAGGGTGGCTGGACACCGTTTTCCCATGGGGCGCTGTTCAAAACTTATATCATGTTTAATGTCAGACAAACTACCGCTATTTGCTTTCCATAGACGTTAAAATGAACATGCATCCACTCGCGAAAACAAAGGGTTTGAGGAAGAAAATACGCACAAATCATTTCGAAAATTTCCAGTGGGGGTCGACTGGGGGACTTTTATGGGGGCGTGCCCCCCCCCCCCCCCGTAGCTACGCCGCGGCGTAGTGCACAGCAAGATAGCACTTAGCGAATGCCATGTGACTCGCTCTCGGCCAATCAAGATACTGAAGAAGTTGACTTAGTCGGATTCACTTAGTCGACCGCTTCCATGGGCGAATAGGACAGTATAGGCCATATAATTAGTCATTCGGGCGCATCCTAACGAAAGGCATTATACGTTTAGCGGCCATCTTAGAGGACATCTTTTGTTATTGTAGTTCAGTAACAATGAATACACAAAAGGCTTACTTGTGCATATCCCAGCAATACAAAGGTATTTCCCTCTATAATGATGGCCGCTAACTACTCACGTAGCACGCACGCTTTTTTTTTGGTGACTCGCAATTAAGGCAGGCCATCTTTTCCTTAAAAAAAAAACACTGGTTAAGGTGATCAGAAATTGCCTCAGATCGCACCACAGAACATCTAAAATCCAAAATAATTTCGGGGCCCTTAAGCGGGCCCCGAACCCCACGCTGTAATTTTTAGCTAGCACTAGCAGCTACCTTACAGCTGCAGTCCCCATTTTTATGGGAGCGGAAACCAGTCTAGTTTAAACACAGTAGTCTGGTTGCAAATATTGTACGTCTACAAAAATGAAAACTAACGAGCATGACGAGTCTGTTACCAAACGTATGTTTACGTACGTACGTACGTACAGTTGTACATGGGAAATGGGTCAACTCGTACCCGAGATAACTCGTACCCGAGTCAACTCGTACCCCGAAATTGACGCCCCAGTCAAGTCGTACCCAAGTCAAGTCGTACCCCAGTCAACTCGTTTCCGAGTCAAGTCGTACCCGAGTTGGCTCGTACCCGAGTACGAGTTGACCCAAAATCTGTACATGACGTACGGACGTGTGATCGTGAGTCAAGATCATCAGATGGTGATCTCGTATTTAAAAAAGGTGTGTTTTTGTTCATAACATAATAGGTTTACCGAAAAATATAAATAGTTATGACATAAACGCCTGCGGAGCTTCTGTTCTGTTTATTTCTTACTATTTTATGCAGCGATTTCCAAGCTACCGGCTGCAATATTTTGATTGATTGATACAAAATTTTCATCATTTCATTTCAACCACCATCCAATTGCATGCGATAGGCGGCTCACTCGCACGTCGCATCGTTAGCTGGCAGAAGTTCTTACTTGGTAGGTTGTTTTTGGACTTCTTGGGCATTTTAAGAAGGAAGTGTTTATTTAGCCGGCTTTCTTTCTGTAAATGATATAAATAAAGGAGACTTGTAATGCACCTTGTCTGTCACATCGTGACACTGTTGTGCCCATTCTTGAAAATCACGCATTCTCGAGAATGGGCATGCACATTCTCGAGAATGGGCGCGCATTCTTAAGAATGAGCGCCCATTCTTAAGAACGAGCACGCGTTCTTAAGAATGAGCGCTCATTCTTAAGATTGGGTGGGAATATCACGTGCACAATTGATGAATTTTGCCCAATCTTAACAAACATTGCACGACAAAATTATGTTAAATGAATTGTATAGCGGTTAAAAGGGAAACAATTCATATAAAGAGGAAAGAAAATGTGCTATGCTTCTGTACTCGTATAACTACGATAATTTGAATCAAATTAAACCTGTTATTATTGCTTTTTTTCTGCCCACTATGGGAAGTTTTGTAATAACGGAGGACTGGGAACTAGTCTGGGAAGTGCTTTGTTTAGGCTAGACAAGTTACAAGTCCCTGCATGTATCATATGCGTGCCACGAAAAAAAAACGATGTCCAGAAGCTGCCAAAATTGCTCTTTTGACTAGATAGAATCCAGCTCTGCGACGTAATGGTGGGGTGTGAACAATAAATTGGTGGCAATTTAAATGGGAAATAGCATTAGCACTATGGGATGTCGCAGTATTCATTCTCATTCTTCACATTCTTCATTCTTACGTCCCCCCCCCCCCCCCCCCCCCCGCTTTTATCATGGAGGAAGGAATTAATTCCTTCCTCCATGCTTTTATTATCCAAAAAATCAGAATTCTTTGCACTAGTATTATTATGTCTCTTATATTTTCCCGGTCCCCCCCCCCCCCATATCAATACGCCTTTACTTATCATATCCACTCTACTTTTTAGCGCCTTGCGTTGCAACAGTATAATTATTGAGAATCAGTGAACGAGGATTCAGCTAGACTTGCCAAGCGCAGCCGGTGCTCAGCATCGACAAGACCGTTATCTTGTCGCCCATTCTCGAGAATGTGCGCTCAATCTGGAAGAGTTATTTTTTGCCAAGATTGAGCAAGGATCCAGTTGCACATTCTCAAGAATGTGCATGCCCATTCTCGAGAATGCGTGATTTTCAAGAATGGGCACAACAACACCACTGATCTCTATACAGTGCTATAAAGACTGGATTGCGGATAAAGAGCCGCACAATGACAATCATGACAATGAATGAATTTGACAGTCTTTAGTTTTTTTAAGTTGACGTCTTTGTAGACAGCATGATTTCTTTTGTAACATCGTGGTTCACTTAACTTATATTTTGACCGCCACTGCTGACCAAGATACAGTTTTTCTAAAGTCGAGGTTTACTTTTTTTTAATGTTGCAGTTCACTTTTTCAGCGTTTTGGAAATGATAATCACTACGGAAATGTGTACTTTTTAGAACATCATAATATGTGTACGTGACCAAAATGCGCGTCAACTGTTGATACAACCATAGATATAAAATGTCTTTATATTCTATATCTATGGATACAATGCGCTGTTAATACGCGTAGAACGTTCGTATTTTACGCGGCCATCTTCGTGAGACCGGGGACAAATTAATCAATATGCAAAGTCTACTGTGTGAATGGTGTATGGATATCCGCTTCTGCAAAATTCAAAACCAAATATTAAAAAAATGATTGATTTATATATCCTTTATGATTGCTAGCAATTTCATCATCACCGGTTGTATTGTCCCTAAAATGTTGGGTTATTAATAATGTCTTTTTATTTCTTTTTAGTTTACATTGAGTACCTAACACTGACATCATGTTCAGCTCTGGATTCAAAACCACGAAATTGTCGACGTCAGCTCGCCTGGCAATCCACAGGTTGAAACTTCTGGAGAGGAAAAAGAGTAAGTAAAACCCAAGCGTAATGCGGGCGATTCACAATGCAGAGCGCCACCAATAGTTTGCCACGGAGAATTCATTTTTCCAAGTGCATGTTGGGAAATGGTCGACACATTCGCAGCGTGGGACATTTGAAATTGTTCGTTTTTTTCCGGTCAGTAGTTTTGTAAGCGTATGATTCGAGTACATATTTGCCCATTTCTTTTCTTTGGTTCAACATGGTGATTTTTGGTAAGGCGGCAGAACGCTTTGCCTTAATCTATAACAAATTAGCTCAAGTGTTTACTGACACTCATTCAAATGGGCCATATTTTGTCGACCGTAAACTTGAAAAGTTGACTCTCCATGGGAAACTCTTGGTGGCGCACTGCATTGTGAATTGCCCGAATTAATGAAACTATCAGTCCACCACAGTAATGACTTCAGAATGATTGCATTGTCCTAAGGAACTTTAAATCAATATCCCTTTCAACGCGTTATGGCGTCTTAGTCCAAAATATGTAAAAACGTGCTTCTAAAATTAGAGGAGTGTAGGTTTTTTGTAGATGGATGACTTCATGTGAAGATTTTTTTAACCTATTCACTGTGTTTTCAGTGTCTGTCTGGTTTTTCTTTAAAAGTATCATCCAAAGATGTGGAAAATAATGTACATTTAGTATACTCCTAGAACTATGATGCTCCACGTAGTGGAGCCTCATAGGTTCAGAACCCCGCAAAATTGTTGTCAGCACAAAACACTAATTAAGTACAAAAACGTCCATCCCAACCAAGCCGTTTCCCACAGAACCGCTGCACAGTTTGCCCCTAAACTCCGTCCAATACATCATGACATACTCACGCTATGTGCACCCAACAAACGCTCCGGCGCGCTCCGAGCATCGGACCGAAAATGACTGCGATCATTCTGCGCGCGTGCAAATTTCAAGTGTCAGGTTGTCTCAGTGCGGAAAGGGCATATTTTCCATCATTTTTGCAAAAAAAAACCGACAGAATCCACCTATGTTTGTTGGGTGCACATAGCGTGAGTATGTCATGATGTATTGTATGGAGTTTAGGGGCAAACTGTGCAGCGGTTCTGTGGGAAACGGCTTGGTTGGGATGGACGTTTTTGTACTTAATTAGTGTTTTGTGCTGACAACAATTTTGCGGGGTTCTGAACCTATGAGGCTCCACTACGTGGAGCCTCATAGTTCTGGGAGTACATTTTGGTGTATTTTATTTTAATATGTACCCATAGAGCTATATTAAATTACTAGAGCACTAACTCGTCATTCTGAGCGCGGAGACGCTTTGAAGCTGTCCATGGGGCAGACATTTTGAATTCATGTGCGTGTTTGTGGAACATAATGAAATTAGATGGATTGAATTTTGAAAGTGTACTCTACATGCAACGCGCAAGTAGAACAAACACAAACAACTTAAGCGCGTCATGACAGTTCAAAAAACGTCACGGCAAAAAGCATCTGCAGCAAATATTCGCACACGTCGCGCTGTTTGCGTAGAGCAAAATGACACGCTCATTTGCTGATTGTGCATTGCAGTTCTGGGCGTAGTGGCTTCGGTAACGTACCGGTATGGAATACAAACGCAGATATGCAAATAGCCGTACAAAAGCCGTACAAAATTTCTAGGTCTCCATAGGTTTGTGCACAAACATGGATGCGCCCAGCAGGCATTACTTTGTACACGAAGTTAGGGGTCTAGTAATTTAATATAGCTCTATGTTTGTACCCCATCTCACAGCTGCAGTGCACAAGCATCATGTGCAGTATGTGGTAATTGAAGGGCAAACTTAATACTTGCTCAGAACCCTTACCCCCTAGTACTTCCTCAGGACTACCCTTCTAAATCCAACAGAGTCCAACCGGACTTTCCTGTTCAATCCACTGTGCCTCATTTTCAGTTGTCTGCTGAATCCAACCGAGTCCAACAATGCGTTATAATGCGGTTCAGTTGCCTGCTGAATCCAACATTTTGCATGAGGAATGTACACAAGGGGTTAACTGCTCAATCCAACAGGCTCCATCGGGGATGTGACATAGTTGGAACCTGTTGGATTCAGCAGGGTTAGGGCTGCCTTGAAATCACAGTCTAGGCTTCGGGCACCCATGCATGGCAATGGTTGCCAGTGCAGTCATTTTGAGCCCCCTGATTGTTGGTCTTGTCACAAGGGACCCTGTTTCGTATTTCAACTACTTCTAAGTGTAGTGCGCCACCAAGAGTTTGCCACGGAGAGTTCATTTTTCCCAGTGCATTGTGGGAGATGGTCAACAATTTGGCAGCGCGGGACATTTGAAATGTTTAGTTTTTTCCGGTCAGTAGTTTGTAAGCGTATGATTCAAGGATCTGTTTGCCCTTTTCTTTTCTTCTGATCAATATGGTGTTTTTTGTAAGGTGGCAGAACACTATGCTCCAATCTATAATATATTAGCTCAAGTTGTCTACTGACACTCATTCACATGGGCCATGTTTTTGTCGACCGTAAACCTGAAAAATGGACTCTCCATGGCAAACTCTTGGTGGCGCACTGCATTGTGAATCGCCGAATTCAAGGATTAAGACTAGTTTTAAATTTATAGTTTGGTGAATTGTTTTTTTTTAGCTGAAGAGGCACAGAAAGCACGGAAGGAGATAGCAGATTATCTGTGCATAGGAAAGGATGAGAGGGCCAGGATAAGGGTAAGGTACTTTACAATCATTGATACTTAGTACAGAGTTTAAAGATATAGTCCATCATTTGTAATTTGTGCATTTTGTTCGTTTGGAGCAACAAAAGTGCTCAAAATCTAAAGAAGGGTACTGAACAACTAACCTGATGAAGTTTTAGCCCAGCCGTGCATGAATTTAGGCCTATATTATACTTGAAATCCTCCGCACTGCTCCAGGATGTCACCGCCTCTGCCTCAACCTGTTGACAGTCACTGCCGCAGGATTTTGCAGGATTCAGGCAGTGGTCACCTCTCCACGGACCATATTCAAGAAATAATGGAGGAATTTGCAGGATTCAGGCTACATGCTATTTTTCCATGAGGCCAATTGGAGGATTTTGCAGGATTGAGGCTACATCCTAGCAAAAAGGCTTAGGGAGTTAGGGTTAAACTGTTGATTTTAAAGTTTAACAAGGAAACTGACTAACAATTCCGTTTGCATTGACCTGTGGTTTCAGGTTGAGCACATCATTCGTGAAGACTACCTAGTGGAAGCCATGGAGATTGTAGAACTGTACCTAGATCTTTTGCTGGCTAGAATGGGTCTCATCACATCGAGCAAAGTCTTGGATCCAAGCATTCAGGAGGCAGTATCAACTATCATCTGGGTCACACCACGTATGTCCGCTGACATTGCTGAGCTGAAATCGGTACGGGAGAATAAGAGGCTTTGTTTTTGCACGTAGTACAGGGTTTGCACTTGTGGAACAAAAATCCATTTTAGAAAATACAGGCAAGCATGTTAATTCAGTGCCATGTTTTACTAAGAGTGGATATGCATAAATCAGATTGTCATGAATATTTCTAAATGAAAAAGTACCAAATGAAATGAATATGATATAAGGAAATGGAAAGTTCTGTTATACTATTAGTTATCCCGCGAGCGTGAGTGGAACACGGAATAATGTAGCACGTCTGTGTCCCACAAACCACAAGGCCGTATGTGGGACACAGACGCACTACATTTTCCGTGTTCCACGAGCGCGAGCGTGATAACAAATTTATCTTCAAGCAAACTTGACGCACTAAAAACTTTTCAGCAGTTATCCTATTACACTTGCGTGTTTGTACCGAATGGCGCACGCATCTTAGAATAGCGCATTGCTCAAGAGTGCGATATGGACCGTGGCCGTGCTACATGGTTATACGTAGCACGGCTTGTTGCCATGGATCGACCAATCAGGATCGAGGATTCAAGTTTACTTGAAGATAAATGTACATGTAGTTGCATTTGCAAATTGTGGACAGTGTTGCCTTAAACCTTAGAGACTTAACTGATGACAATTGTTTGGCTCTTTTTTCAAATGCTTTAATATTTGTATAGAAAGAGTAAACGTTTTATTTCTCAATTTTGATATGAACCAGCAACCTGGGAGACCTTTTGTGTTTATGTTTGTAATTTTTGTAGGTGTCCCAGCAGCTTGTCTGTAAATATGGGAAGGAATTTGGTGAGTCTGCACGAAAAGGAGAATGTGAATTCGTCAACGAAAAGGTGAGGGTCGGCAGAAATGTGACACTTTCAGTACTCGTGTAGAACCCCACAGAGTTTGCATCAACAGGGTTCGACCTTAACTTTTTTGTTCACTAGGCAGCCGGGCTACTGAAACAGACTCTTAACTAGCCCGCGGGCATTTTCACTAGGCCTCATGTTTTTCTTTTATACAGCTTGTTCCCCCCCCCCCCCCAAAAAAAAAATGCTGCAAGCAGAAACGGGCTCTGTGCCCTTGGAATATTGAAAAATGTTTCATGATGCTTAATATAATGTTAAACCTGGGATATTCAGCTTTCAAATGCTATTTGTTTGCCCCTACGTCTTCAGGTGAAGCTCAGGATGAGCGCGCAAGCACCGCCCAAATCATTAGTGGAGAACTACCTAGTAGAGATTGCAAGGAGTCACGGTGTGACCTATGAGCCAGATCCTTGTATCCTCAGTGTAAGTAGTCTATATCATATCCAGAAAACTTTAAGTGCTTCAGGATGGACTCTCTTTTCTGCCATTTTCTAACTGAAACATGTTGTTTTCACACACAACAGTGCTCCAATATATAAATACCTTTATAGTTTAACAGTGGGAACAGCTCGAATCCCAGTTTGAACATTTTCTGTTTATTTTTTTTTTTTATGTTTCTTGAATTTTATTTTTCGCATTGAGATGAGCCAAGGACCCTTAAATGTATGGTTAATCACTCAACTACAGAACAGTGCAGCTGAAAATCCTTTCAGAGAAGACAATGAGATAAAATCCTTTTACAATTGGGAGGAAAACCCACTTAACCCTAACAGAACTCAACCCATCAAACCCCAACAGCATGTTTTGTTGGAATCTGTCGGGATGGGCACAGTACCCCTAAACTGACAGTCTTTTACATTGGGTTGGCACACCTCCAGAAACTAAAGTCAGAAATCTGTGTGTGCAGTTTCCCATATGGTGTTGGAATTTGCCAGGATGGGTATGGTTCCTAGTAAATCATGCTAGGGAGTTAGGGTTAATCAAGTAATAACTTAACAACTTGATAGGATTTATGCTGGCATCACTAGAGATGGAAGGTCAGGAAAATAGTACTGGGTAAACCTAATCCCCACCATACTCAAAGCATTTAAATAAGGGAATAAATGTGTGTTTGGGAGGTATTATAACACTCTGTTTAAGACCGGTTTGAGTCTGGATGGGTGATAATTACCCGAGGCGAAGCCTAGGGTAATTATTGCCCATCCAGACTCAAACCGGTCTTTAACAGAGTGTTTAATACCGACCGAACACGCAATTATTCCCATTCATAAATACCTTTTCGGTCCAAAAATACAAAAAAAATTCAAAAACTAGACATTGCCAACCATTTTGTTCAACAATTTTACATCATGTTTTAAGAAACACCCCTCTGACTATAATATGGAATGCCCCTCCACAACTCGTTACCTTATAGGGACATTGGCGTGCGCGTCGCGCGTACTGCACGATGTCGCGCAAAACGCAGCTGGGCTGGTGTTTTGTGAATTTCGGACCATGAAATACTGATTCACTGGTAGTACATTGCGCATGCATACGTGAGGAATGTGAACGTTCAACCAATGAAACGTTAAAAGGTACCGGATTTCATAGGAGTCCAAATTTCGTGTGACACTGGAAAAGTGTTTAAGACCAGCTAGCAATGTCTTTATCATCCGTTTAAGACCGCCGGCCACATGACGGGCTCTCGACCAATAGGAATTCGTAGACTGTCTTAGGTATTTATGAATACTCTTTAATGATACTTTCAAGCTCCGAAATAAAAGATGGTCCTGCAACGATGACCTGTACTAATGGAAGGTTATGGTATTGTCATATTTAGCCTCCTGAGGTTGAGGGACTCCTGATGGATCTTGGAGACGAGACATTGTCTGGGAGCAAGAAGGGAGGCGGAGGTGGTGGTGGCGGTGGAGGAATGAGTGTTCAACTGCCTCCCCAGCAACCCAGCTACCCCCCTCCAGCTCAAGCCTACCCCCCTCCTGGCCAGGCGTATCCCCCTCCTGGCCAGGCGTACCCCCCTCCTGGCCAGGCTTATCCCTTGGCCGCCCAGGGTTACCCGCCGCCGGCTACCAACCCCGCCTACCCTCCACAGACCCAGCCACAATCTATGGTAAGAATCTTATTATACAATATCGTGCTCCGAAATGCCGTCATGCAATGTGAACTAACATTGTGCTTTGAAGATGTCAGTAAAATGTTAGTGCATTGCATGTGGTTGCTGTACAGCCAAACTAACCCACCTTGATGCTGCACTCATAACTGCGCATTCTTACGGAAGCCTTTGTATCTATGTGAATGGAATCTGTCGTTGCAGTATAGCCAAACTAACCAACCTTGATGTTGCACTCATAACTGCGCATTCTTACGGAAGCCTTTGTATCTATGTGAATGGAATCTGTCGTTGCAGTTTAGCCAAACTAACACACCTTGATGCTGCACTCATAACTGCGCATTCTTACGGAAGCCTTTGTATCTATGTGAATGGAATCTGTAGGAATGTTTTAAAGCTAATGAATTGAATGTTGCATGCGTTATTACTGTGAATGTTGCATGCAGTATTGCAGAGTAAACTAGGAAGCACTCAGAGAGCACAAACCTCCGCCAAGGCTAAACAATTCCCCGCCATATTTGGCCAATACACCCACAAGACCACTCGCATAAATGGTGAACAATCCTTAAAAAAAAAAATCCTGGATCCAGACCCAGATCCGGATCACTTCCAAAATCTAATTGATTTGTACCAAGGACCACCTCTAAAATGTTATTTATGCAAATTCGTCCATACCTTTTGAGTTATTTTGTTAATAACAGACAAATCAACCAACCAACTAACTAATGTCGATGAAAACATAACCTCCTTGGCGTAGGTAATAAATGTTGCATGTAGTGTAGTTACAAAAGCAGGCTGGCATATTTGAAAATGCTCTGCTTGAAGTAAACTGCCAGCTTCTAGAGGCTTGTATAGTTTGATCACAACTTGGGCAATTCCACGGTTACTCACGTTACATTTTTGATGTACTTTTGAGTTTCCTTGGGCTGTAATTACCTCACTGAAAAGGTTTAATAACTGTTATCCTCATGGTAGATAGAGTAGACCTAGACCTACCTAAGCACCAAAGATGACATCCAGAAAAATGTGTTATGTATGATAAACAAGACGCACAAAATTGGTAACTAAGGTTACAAAAATTTAACGTGAGTAACCGTGGAATTTCCCACTTTGCTTTTGATGTTTGTTTATATTTATGTTTGGCTGATTAGGGGGCATGCTTTTGCTTTTTTCTTTGGTATTTTGTTTTGTTTATGCATTGACTGTCCTGCACTCAGAACCAAGGAACGAATGATTCCCAACCACCATCTTACAGTAATTTTGCCCCATCTCGAGGGCCACCTGCACGGCCTAAAGCACCCCCTGTTGGTCCTGCTACTCCCGGGGTGAGTGTGGATCACTACAGCCAGCAGGTCTGCATAACATCGTGGGTTCATGTTGGTGGAGATTTCTTGTCTACCACCTTCATGACTCTTACAGCTGGTTCCATGAAACACTGCACAGCTTATATGCCATGAGAAAAACATGCCATGAGAAAAACAGAGAAGGGATATTGACCTTGTAGTCCACTTTTATTTTTCACCCAACGACCATCAAAATATTCTGAAATATTCCTCAAAGGCCAAAAAAAAAGTCTCCGGTTCCTGGTATGCCTGCCAGTTGCCGTAGCCATGCGTGTCAGCAAATTTATAAAAGATTTTTTTCAATGTAAGATGATGTCTCAAAACCGCCAAACTCAGGTTTGACTGGACTCCTGCTTCTGCACAATTTAACGTGTTTTTAGATGGGGTTGCGATCGAATATAAGCTTTATGTGGCCTCTCTGGGCTCCAATACATTTGGCACTAAATTTAGTTAGGCACCATTTGCAGTCATCAACCGACATTTGAAGGAAAAAAAAGTAAAAAAAAAAAAAAAAAAAAAAGAAGCCGCATCACGGCACCACTTTTGGGGCAAGCTCCATACCAGAAACCGGAGACCGGAGTTAACAGTCGTCAAAATAGCCGACACAATAGTTTTCTGGCAATTTGTCAGTTTCCATAAATGAATATGTATAATTTTATGACTGCCATTTTTTTATTCAGGGCTCAGTATCAGGGAGGGGGGATTTCAGGCTCCATTCTTATAGTTTCTTAGTTGGATTTCGGTTGGGTTCGGGTAATGGTGGAATAAATCGCCTAGACTGCTCAGCTGTGGTACCCTTGACTTTAAAACGCCTCCTCGTCCGACTGTCAAGCTTATTTTGCTTATATTCATTTTGCCACCTTGTGTCATTCATCATACACATACCATTTTGCATGCTTAATGCTTCATGATGTAGTACGTTCCTTCGTGGTCTCTTGCATCACTATAGTTTGTTATCTGACTGTTATATATGACTTGAAGCTTTGCATGGCGGATCAGATAAATTATAAAGTTTGCGGGTAACACCATGTGGAAAGATATCTCTTCTTGGAAGAAGTGTGGTTCTGAAAAGAACCGGTTGATTGAGTGTAGAACTCAACGTTTCGGACAATGTGCTCTGTCTGTCCTCGCCCTCCTGAGGACCTCCTGTGGTACCATCTTCCAAAATAGGAGGCGCTCTTCAAAACCAGCCATTATACACATTAGGGGCCCATTTTCAAGGGTTTTGGGGCTTGTGTTTCATAATCCTCGTTCATATCAAACCTTTTAGGGCCATTTATTTTCATCTCGAGGGGGCACATTTATGTCCGCAAAAGGGGCACTTGGGTAAATCTGGGAGGGGGGGGGGGCAACTGCCCCCCCCCCCCCCCGCCTCATAATTCTGACGCCTCATAAGTCCGAAATATGAGGCGTCGGACCTATGAGGCATCAGACTGATGATACAGCCCCGTGATAAAAGCCATGTGTAGCAAGTCCATGAATGTCAACCAGTGCATCAGTGGTGGATTCCATTATGTCATGTACGGTTTTGTATTAGACGCACAGTGATTGAAGGATTTTGATGGAAAGTTCCTAGTAACAGACGCCAGGGAGTTAGGGTTAAGCCACAAGGTTTATTACACGTAAATGCGCACCACTAGTATTTTCATCTGGTCATATTCATGTAACATTAGCATCATGTTGGTTGTTTACATAGCAGTATATATGTATATGAGATATGTCCCCATTCCTCCTGTAGCAGTGTTAACACTCCACAATGAATTACTACATTAAGGAAAATACACGAGAAAGTGTGGATTCGTAATTTAAGAATTTACGAGGCGCGAAGCGCCCAGTGAATTGGTAAATTAAGAATCCACACTTGCGAGTGTATTCTTCAACTAAAACCATTGCGTCAACAGAAGTATTGGAAAGAGTGTTGCAACCTGACGCCACTTTTTTCTTCATATATCATCTCAATGAAGGTCATTCGTTGCAAAATGATGATAATACATGCATCTGGGACTGAGAAATGTTTCCAATTTTGTTTGGAGATACTTGAAATGACTCTCCATGGACGTTGTACACAAGCGCGGAAGTGGCGTCAGGTTGCAACATTGTTTCCTGGTGTGTTTAGCATGTGTATCGCCACACCCGTACAACCAAGTCATTTTGTGTGTATAGGCTCCTTACGACAAAATGGATAGTTCAGACGACGATTTCTTTCTGACTGAAAGTAGATTTTGCAGTGATGGCGGAGAATCTGACAGTGAAGATGCATTGAAGATGCATTGGTAATTTTCGGAAAGCAAATTTTCACGCAGACGGTCCTATTCATGCTCATTATGGAGAACAATTGTCCGACATGTTCAAAGTGTGGATTCGTAATTCTGAATCCACACTTTACGTAAGAGATTCGTAGATCCGAATCCACACTTTTAACAATAGTGTGACGTCATAGCAATGGTTTAACGATGGACTAATGAGCATTTATGTCTTTTTTTACCACTCATCAGGCACCACCGTACTCTGAGAATGATCCCATGTGTAAGTTGTGCTTTTGGATTCACGTTAAAGGAAACATGATATACACAGATTTGCCATTACAAATTGCAATTCATTATTAACTCCATTAATATGCATCAAATGTTGAAAGTCAACAGTGGTTGAGCTGGAGTTTTAGTAATTTGCTGCCTTATTTTCAATCCAGCCCAATATTCAGTTTTTACCTTCTAAGTTAGGCACTGTACTGTTCATGATGTAAATCAGGCAGTGAAACTCGCTGATAGATTTGATAGTACATGTACATGTATACAGATTGTAGTGACACCTATCAGGAGCATGTCCATTGTGAACAGGTCCAAAACTGTTCTGTCTGCAGTAAATTATGTGCAGAAATACATTGCATTGCATATGGCAAAATAAGCAGAGATCTGGGGTTAATATTTTGGTTACACAACCACATAAAAGTATGTGACACAAACACATTGGCTAATCAATTCTCTCTTTAACAACAATTTAGATTGTATTCAACAACTTCAGTAAAGTGTGTTGAACATGGGCGACGCAAGGGGGGGGGGCAAGGGGGCACGTGCCCCCCCCCCAAAAAAAAAGGACAGAAAAAAAAAAGGAAAAAAAAAGGACAAAGAGGCGCGAAGGCATATTGCTGTTAATTTGATGGGGGGGGGGGGGTAGGGCAAATGCTCCCCTGCTCACGCTCGGAAAAATGATAAATTGAGAATATAATGAAAAAGTTAAGGAATTTTGGGGAAAAACTTGTTTCCCCCCCCCCCCCCCTCGGAAAAAATCCTGGCGACTTCCATGTGTTGAATGTTAGGATGAGTGACAATATATATTCACTCTGGCCATTTTTTGTTGATGTATAATTTACAGATCCTCCTAACCCACAAGCAGGCAAGCCGCCAGCAGCTAGCCAGCCGGAGCCCAGCATGCCTGTCCTGCCTCAGGTCCCTACTAACAGCTTTCCCCCTCTGGACAATAGTGTCGGAGGCAAGCCAGGCGGAGGGGAAGATGTGGATTTTGACGACCTGACCCGCAGATTTGAAGAATTGAAGAAAAAGAAGTAAAGTCTAGATAAATGATGAGATTATTTTCACAACTGTACTGGTTGGCGTCAGTGTGCTTATATCAGTGACAGCTCTTTTGGTAATGACACTAGGTTAGGGTTAGGGTGTTGTAAGAACGGAGCAGTTTGCACACCAACAGTTTTAAGTCAAATTGTAGGAATAGAGTACATTTGACTAATTGCAATCAACAACATAATTATTTTGTTGTCTTGCATTACAATGTAGTTACTATTGGCAACATAATTAATTTATTGCCTTAATAAATACGAATAATCTATTTCTATTGTTCCTCTCTGCATGTACACACCATTAACCTAACTCCCTTGGGCGTGTGAAAAATCATCGATCTGTTAGGATAAATGATGTTTACTTCAGGATTACAGTGAATATGTTTACGTGTACAGGATTGTAACTGCTTGATACAATTCACTGTAACCTTGACATCAATGAAGGTCTTGAAATGGTTATCATATCCATCATAAACACGTCTTTTGTTTGACAAGATTGTCTTCAAAGCACCTCTAGCCGGCCAGCATGCTGGTCATTTTTGTTATCACGGTAACCTAGCACGATATTATCATGAGTTCTTCTCATGACACCCTTCAATTTGCTGGCCGAACTTCATGGAACGACCCCCCCTGAAAAATTTACATACAATGTTGGCAGCCCCAAGGAAAACAACACACAATGCACATGCCACAGAATGTACATGTACCTGCATCTAAACAAAAATCAGTTCGATGGCAACCTCCTATTTGATTTTTCAAACATGGCAGACTTGTTTTTCAATCTTAAATGTTCAAATCTTGATGTGCACAGCCATAGTTGGAATATCAAATAGTGTTTTTGTGTAGTGGAACGTCTTTGTCCAGGCTGATGGCTCTAGAAATCTTGGCTGTTTCAGGAATTTAAGGAGCTAAAAAATGGGTTACAATGTAAGTAAAGTTGAATTAAAATATATATATAAATATGTATTTGAAACTCGGTGTAGTCAGAAAAAGACAAAAAATAACACACCCAACCCCCCCCCCAAAAAAAATCTCCTGTCGTTTTTGTATCATTATACATGTACATGTACAATCGTTCCAAAAGGAATTTTGAAAATGAATACAAACACCCATAAGCCTAAGCCTAGCTTAACCTGTTGTGTAAGGATACAAAAAGTGGACCAACGTAGAGGGTCATGTTTGTTATAGCACATATAAATTCGTAGGTGTCACGAGACCAATTTGATGTGGGTGTGATTTATAGACATGAAGCATTACAATGTAGTTGCATTACAATGAAGCATTGCAATGTAGTTGCCAGCAAAACTGATGGATAAATCTTTCATACTTTTGCAACCATTTTCGTTATACATAAACAAATAGGGCTTTTGGTAATTGTAATATATACGTGTATACTGAAAAAAGGCACTCAAATTCACTTAAATTGTGAGAAAATTATGCTCCCGCGATAGTGCTTCAATAACGATGGTCCCCAATGAACCGAAATACAAAGGTTGCATACCGATTCTTTGCTTTAGTTCTGCTTTCTTACAAGCACAGTAATATATATATATATGCGTGTTGAGTATTTTTTTACTTTGCTCAGGTCCGTACCAGTCTCATGTGAGGGGTAGGTTTTGTTTCCCTACAAAATGGACTTTCATTGCTGACTTTTCAAATGCTTACTATGAAAGGTTGGATATTTTGATTATCAAACGACACATTCGAACTTTCTGTAGAGGCTCTATTAGAACATGCAATTTTATTTTTCAGTTATTAAATACAAAAGAACAGCCATAAAGTTTACCCATGTTGAATTTGGAACAACCCTCACCACCACCCTCTGGCTATAGGCATGTTTCTTGTACTTTTTGAAGACGAATTTAAAATTACAAAAAAAATGTAACGTTCTGTGTAGTTATAGTAAGCGAAGTAAGCATCTTTATAAATATCTATTAATTTAATTTTGTAAAATTTTAGCAAGAAATATTAACTGCAGCCAATTAAAGTAATTGTAGTTCTTGGACACCTGTGATTAATATTAAACTGCAATGTATAAACACCTCTTGATTATTGTTTGAACATTTACGCTGCTGTAGATATTAAAATATATACACTAAATTTTTGCTTAAGGTATGGATGTTAGAGCGTTTACTAGGGGCGGATCTAACTTTCAGGAAATGCTAGCCTCATAAATGTGGCCAATTTACTGGGCTACCTCCATAAATAAAGGCCACACTTGGACCATGTACCTGAAAATGTAGAACTTAGTCAAGTTTTATTTTCACATTTAGACTTTATTTGTATTTTATTTACACTTTATTAGCGCACTCGCCCTCTTTAAAGCGATAGAAAATTAGTCCCCCCCCCTTTTTTTCAGATGTCTATATTTCATGTAATTTCCAGGTTCGTTTGCACACATTGGCGTATCTAAATTCCAACACGAAATTGCACGAAAAATAGACGTTCTACATGTTCGGGTACATGGTCTAAGTGTGGTCTTTATTTACGGAGGTAGTCCAGTAAATTGGCCACATTTATGGGGCTAGCGTGATGCGTGCCACACCCTGCTAGGGGGATCTGGGGGCATGCTCCCGGAATTCTTTTGTTAAATATGTACAATGATTTCTCCTGCATTTTAAGGCAATTTAAGAATAATTTTAGGAACTTTTGCATTCCATTTTTGGCCCCATTTTAGTACTTTAGTAATATTAGTCAGCGGATGAAGGGGGGGGGGGGGGGTAGCAAGCGCCACCCCCTCCCGATCCACTACTTAGTGTGTATGAGTGGAGAACACTGAGAAGTTTATGAAGTATTAACGCCATAACTAACCGGAGACCAACTGTTTCGTTCGATGTTACATACAAAAGGGATCCTACATGTAGTAACCCATAATGAACATCAGTGTAATTATGATTGTAGATGAATATAACTTGGTATTTTTCAAGACAGACCCATGCAGCAATTCTTGGGTTGAGACATGTTTGTGCATGTATGTATACTTGGAGGACTTTCGGAAAGCACCCTTTTGCGGCTGTAAACGGTGTGTTGCACATACACATAATGTTCAATCATAGTATTCCTTCCTCCATGGTTCATTTGATCATTAATGTTCACTGTTTTAGCAACGCAGGTTTGATCTTTGTACACCACACATAACAGTAGGCCTACTATACATAACTTCCATGTATAGCAGGGAGCCGTGGTAATGGAATTTGTGGAGAAGGGTCCAAACTAATCATGCTGTACTCAATTTTATTTAATTGTTTTAATGTTATTGAAAATTGAAAAGCTTTTTTTTCTTAGCTTAGATTGGCCATATACAAGACAACTAATGCTAAAATTACACATTTTTTTTTTATATAAACAAAGCGAAATCGGAAACTGTCTCTATAATTATGTTCAATATGTTCGTCAATATTAGATTGAATACAGAATTTTACTGAACGGAGCAGGATTTCAACGTATTGGGGCTGTATCTTCCAATTTAGCTCTTACTCACCCGGCCCTGTACAAGGGCGGATCCGGGGGGGGGGGGCAAAGGGGGCCATGAGCCCCCCCCCCCAAAAAAAAAACCAAACCGAAACCAATTTTTTTTTTATGCGACTTCGCAATAAAGGCAGGCAATGAGTACACCACCATCTTTTCCTCAAAAAAACATTGGTTAAAGTGGTCAGAAATTGCCTCAGATCGCACCACAGAGCATCCAGAATCCAAAAATGTTTCCCTTAAGCGGGCCCTGAACCCCACGCCGTAATTTTTTTGACCCACTTTTTTGGGGGACCAAAATTTTTTGGGCCACCCAAAAAATTGTGTTCTGGATCCACCCTTGGCCCTGTATTGACGCAATGAATCTTAATACTCATTCCTAAATGATAAGGAAATTACTCACATGTTTGTGGGTTTGACATAGGGTACATAATTTTATACAGGCACTACATAGTGTTCGAATGCGTAAAGGTTTTATGTTTTCCAAGTTACTTGCTTCATTGCAGGTGATTCCAATTTGGTTTTAACTGTGCCATTTGTTTGGGGAGCTGGAAGGGTATCCTCATGATTGTGAGAAGCGTATGTAGGATTAGTGAGTGCGATGCCGGAATCAGCCCCTGTTTCCATAACATGGACTTTTTCGGCCCCTTTCCCTGCCGACGATTTCTTCGATTTCTGCAATTCAGCATACAAAGGCTCTTGCTTCGTACCTCTGGCAAGCATTGCGTAAGATGTCTGCGAGTGCTGGGTGCGTTCCGTATGCGAACTGATTCTCAAAGTCGGCGTGTCTGATGGATGGACTTCACTGCCGTGAGATTCCAATCTATCAGCATTGAGCTCCCATGTGTTGGGTTGGGTCTGTGTAGAATTATGCACTGATTCTGGGTGTGTCCTATCGGCCCGGCTAGGCTTCGGTGTGCCCGGTCGTTGTGCTTGTTTTACAGATACTGGACACGCTACTCGACCAGATTCCTCTGCTGCTGTTGATGTTTGCTTGTGTGAGCTACTGCTTGGATGATGATGGACAGGAGGTCCACTGCTCGGTCGGCTGATAGTATTTGGCCGTGTTGAGATTGGTTTGGGCAGCAAATGTTTCTCCTTTTTATCACATCTGAATCCACACAAACAAGCGCAAGCGATTACAATCGATATCAGTAGCAAAAGAAGTAGGAAACCTCCCCCACCAGCAATACCTGCAATGATGGCAACGGAGATGTCACTACCCACATTGCTGCTAGTGGCATCAGTCGCTGCTTGCAGTACAGTACCCCTAGGTCTTGTGGTTGTCATTTGGTCAGTTTTACTGGTTTGTGCTTCGGGTGGTTGCATGCTGCTCTTGGCATCAGTTATTGCTTGGGTCGCTGGAGTATCATATGAACTGGAGGTTTCATAAGATGTTTGGAAAGTAGTCTTCAAAGTGTATGGGAATGTTGTTGATTTCCTTGGCTGGGATGTGGGAGTCTGCACTGCTGTGCTCGGTTTGTTAGTCGTGGAACTCACATGAATTGGTCCGATAAAGCAGGATTGTTCCATGTTTGGGAATGAGATCGGCGAGGTTATTTTGCATTCAAAGGCAAGAGTATCTACATCTGCAGTTATACTCAGATCTAACGAAATAGTTTGTGGATCAACAGTATCTTCTGAGTATTCTAAGAGATAAATTGCACCGTTTGATACGAAATCCATTTGGGCTGTGGGGTTTCCTTTCTCAGAAGTACAGCTGATGTGAAGAGTCGTTCCTTGTTGAACAATGAAAGGCCCTTGGGGGTCGCAGATGGGATAAATATCAGCTGGAAAATAGTGCACCGACAAGTAAAATGAGGCTCTTGGAAGCAAGACCGTGCTGCTGCCATCGGTTGAACTCTTGACGTTACATTGATATAATCCGGTGTCTCGCTTGTCTGCTGTATTAATGACAAGGTGTTCGTACCTCGGCGTTGTCAAAGATGCGTAGACGGCGTATCTAGATACTAAGCTGGTTCCATTGTGTGCTAGGATGGTATCTGCATCATTGACGCGTCTTGCCCATTCTATGACGTGACCTGCCTGCAGGTCGGAGACATCGCATCGCAGAATGACCGTATCACCAACCACGGGGTTACCCTCTGGAGATATTTTTTCGAGACTCACAGACAGTGTAGCCGCACAGGGCACCATACCGAAAGGCAGATAACATCCGACAACCACGAAAAGATATGGCAAACAGGACCCTCGATTCATGGCGAAAACTTAAACAAGGCTGAATAATAGAGAGTTCAACTGGCTCTCTGGCAGTCCAGAAGTTTAGGTTTGACTAGTACTACCCCAGCTATAAAACAGGATGTTGAATAGGTGGTGCTGTGCCAGTGCAACTACTTGAACAATAGTTCATATTTTGTTCCCACGCTCAGTCGCTCGTAAATTTCATGCATCGGTAAGTTCACCTTCGGTCGTCATGGTAGTAGTTACGTTCGATTTATTACTACAAATGAAAATGAAAGCATTCAAAGGACTGTAAAAGATGACATGGCGAATAAAAAAAAGTTCATTCTCTCGCAGGGAAATAACATAGACCACACAAAGTCATTGTGATTGTATTTTTGTTGTTGAAAGTAAAACATATAATGTCAGTCAATAATATTACGCAGCTTTATAATCACCACTGCACAAATATCCCATGACTATCCTACAAATTGTTTTGGGTCCCGTTTCATTTATGTGATCAATAACGGTACAAATTTAGCAACATGTTTGAAAAAGAGCATTTCAATTATTTAAGTTGATTGACAATCCTGGAGACCCAGCATTTAGTTCTGTGCATAATCATAGGGTCTCTGTGGGCGAACATACATCCTGAGGGACAGACGAAGGGGGAACAACAGATTCTTTTTTGACCTCGATTGTTCATCTTTTGTTGAAAATGGTCCTTGATCATGCGTTTATATAACTTCAACTAGCAACACGGTGATAAGGACCACAAGATCAACAGGCAGCAGTGCTAAGTCATCACAAGCTTTAAGGTCATCCAATATATAACTTGGCTGAATTGCCCAAAATTATCTGCATCTCCATCAATGACATGATTCACACCCCATCTCAAGTAGGCAGTCAAAATATCCTCTAACTCAAGACAACGTTCCCATCTTCATCAGTCCATGGAGCTACAGTATGTGTTTGTTTCCGCATCCATTTTGAGAGAAGGTTGATGCAATGCATGCAGGGCAAAGGGCATTTTATATGTTGTTTGTGTAAACTCTTTGGTATTTGTTCAAAGCATGGAGGTATGAAACGGCAACAAAGTTACCCGAATACAATACAATGTTATTCCTTCCTATTGTATCCGCTGCTTCTAAAAAAAGTTAATGTTAGACCAAAAAAAAAAAAATAGTCTGTCTCTGGTCAGCGCGCGCGTCGATTTTAATCATGCGCGTCAACCTTTTTTTTCTTCAAATTGTCCGCGGTAGCTACAACAGCGCCCTCTATTGCCGCACCTCCTCAAATTTTTGTACCAAGGAATGGGGAAATTGCACCAAAGCAAATGATGGAGGGCACAAAGGCAAATTATGGAGGACACTAATGTATATGAGAACACAAAAGAAGCAAAAAATAG